ATGAGCTGCCATACCAGCAGACTGCTGCGTGTGGTAAAAGCGTTATTTTTAGTGGGCTGACTGTGCTTTCACCAGGCTTTATTAAAAGTGTCCACCTGACAAACATATCATTAATACTCAGGGGCAGAGTCTGCATCACTGAAATTGCCTGTTAGTGTTCATAGGATTCCCTTCAACCCATAAATATATTGATCAAAAGACATTGTTCAAAGCGGCAGAAAAACCTTCAGAAAACTGGAAGGTTTTGTGGCTACTGAAGTGGCGCTTTCTGGTTCAGAGGTTGATACAAAAAGGCAGAACTAATAGTAACATTGCCTGGCAATGTTTATCAACAACAAATATATACACTATATATATATATATAGTATTGTCGCAGTGTTACCCTGTATGCTAATGTGGCAGTGTTACCCTGTATGCTAATGTGGCAGTGTTACCCTGTATGCTAATGTGGCAGTGTTACCCTGTATGCTAATGTGGCAGTGTTACCCTGTATGCTAATGTGGCAGTGTTACCCTGTATGCTAATGCAGCAGTGTTACACTGTATGCTAATGTAGCAGTGTTACCCTGTATGCTAATGTAGCAGTGTTACCCTGTATGCTAATGTAGCAGTGTTACCCTGTATGCTAATGTGGCAGTGTTACCCTGTATGCTAATGTAGCAGTGTTACCCTGTATGCTAATGTAGCAGTGTTACCCTGTATGCTAATGTGGCAGTGTTACCCTGTATGCTAATGTGGCAGTGTTACCCTCTATGCTATGTAGCAGTGTTACTATCTATGCTAATGTGGCAGTGTCCACGCCTCTATGCTAATGTAGCAGTGTTACTATCTATGCTAATGTGGCAGTGTTACCCTGTATGCTAATGTGCAGTGTTACCCTCTATGCTAAAGTAGTAGTGTTACCCTCTATGCTAATGTATATTTATTCAGAAAAATAAAGAACAAACATTTGACCACTGCAGATAACGTCCTCTAACTGCGTCTCAACCGCTACGCTCCTTCATGACTGCGCTTTTAAAAAGGTGAGCTAGCTGCATGTGGCTCAAAGGCTCAACGATGCAGAAATTGACATCCTCAAATGGATTCAGCCTGTTACCATTTCCCCATGCATTTGCCAAAGAGTATTCCCACAGGGAATCAAACCTATTGCTCACTGACAGACACACACACACACACACACACACACACACACACACACACACACACACATCAGCAGGAACTGTCACGAGCAAATAGAGATGCCATTTGCCAGCGGTGAGAGGCTCCTATACCAATGTCTGCCTTATTTTATCCTCCTTTTGTCTCAGCGTGCGGCGGACTCCAGACTGCGGTCCACTCACACAGACACGGGGCTGAACATGAAGCTGGTAGGCAGCGGTGGAGCTGTCCTCTTGTTGTTAAACTAACATCCAAGAAAGCAGCACACACTATATCGCAGTATCTCGGAAGAGAAATAGGTTTATTTTTCCATTCCACCATGATGTTTTTAGAAAGAATTAAGAGCTCTTATGGCGCGTTTCCACCGAGCGGTACGGTACGGCAACACACGCAACACACTAGCAGCATGTAGCCTTTGCTCAAACAAAGATTGTCGTCTCCTTGTTGTCTCCTTGTGACAAACAGCCACATATCGAGAAGCAAGAACAGGATAGAAAACTTAAAGCTAACCCCAAACAACAATGGAGGACTCCATTGTTGTTTGCGGTTAGCTTTCAGTTTTCGCGCGATCGAATGACGTGAATCTACTTTCCGTCATATACCACGCCTTTCAAGTGACGTTATCACTACTTTCTGGAATACACCACGCCTATCAAGTAAGGGGACTGTTAGTGGTGGAAACACTCACCAAATCATGGTTAACAGACCCGACCCGTACCGAACCGAGCGTACCGTACCGCTCGGTGGAAACACGCCATAACTGACATGCAACATTCAGTAAGTATTTATTATATGGAAGCAACAGCAACCACTCAAAATTAGATCACGACTGACTAACTTAGAAATGATTTTCCCGTAGACTATTTACAGGAATAACTACGTCTTCTTTTATTTTTTTAGACAAAGTGGAAAGTGAAGAAGTGCTTCTGGAGAAAACAAATCCCGTGAAATAGTGCTCTTTTAAACATAAACACAAACCAAGCTGGCGACGGCTAAAAAGCCAAAAGAGGTGAGGAGGTGAAGTGCCCTAATGGCCATACGCTGGATGTTCATGTTGCTCTCACAGAATACAGGATGAAGGGAGCAATCAAAACATGTATTTACTTCCACGTTTTGACTCATTATTACCTCTTCCATGTCCATGAACAAATGTCAGGGTCACGTTCACAGTTCATTTTACGTCCTCCACATGCAAGCATTTTTGTCCACAGATTTCAGCTGTAATTTGGATTTTCCTGTCAATAACCGCGTGGCACTCACGTAAAGTCCCGTTTTCCAAATGAGCGCTAAAGGATATCACTAATCATCGTTCTAGCGTCCGTGATTCCTATAATGGATGGCAGGTACATGTGATTAATTGCGCTATAAAAAAACACCCCACATGTGATGACAGCTGTTGGTGCCTTTGGAGAACCTTTCAGATGAGACACAATATGTCCTCGCACAGACATGTCCAATGAGGGCAGAGCGGGCGCAAGAGTTTGCAAACAGTTGTTTGTTTGACGCTGTTTTGATGTCCATTCATGCAGGATCGGGGAGCGGATATTAAGGATTGAGCAAACCCAGTTCCACGAAGATTTGGATTCATAACGAAAACAGAATAATGCATTAGTGTGTTTTTATAAAACCAAACAAAAGTGTTTTTTATTTGTACATCACGTTTCATGCTTTCGGTTCCAGGTTTCCACTTATTGTTTCTGTCCTGAAACATGCAGAGAATCCACAGACACTATTTTTCAACACTTTCAAGTTTAACTACAGATAAATACATTTAATTAATGCCATTGACCTTCATGCGCTAAAATCAAAGTAAGCTAAATTTCACTGACTCAACGCCAAGAGTCTCCAATCAGCCTTCACATTGAGTTTGGTTCGTGCCCCCTAAACACACGGCTGATAAAAGCAGACCGATTAATTCAGCCAATAATGGAATACGAGAGCGGCTGTGCGATTTACATTCCCCACTACCAGCGTCCGGCTCTGCATGTCAGTCAGATAATTGTCCCATTTGTCACCCATGAGTGTCGTCAATGTGTGGGTCCCAGCTCCTCGAGCTCAGCGTTCGCTGAATTAAAAAAAGAAAATGATTCCTCATCAAAGCGGACATTTGGACTGGTCGAAGTAGGGGATACACAGTTGTTACCAATGACAGTGATGATGACTCAGTAGGCCGAGACAGTGAGCTAGGATGCACAAAACCAGGCCCCCTGAAATCTAAGAAGCCAGCCTTTGTTTATATTTGTTTCTTCCTGCTATGACATATCCAAATATATCTTATATTTATATATATATAACTGAGCGAGATCAATCTGAGGCACATCCTGGCCATCCCCTCACATCTAAGTGCGATTATCCAGCTGATAGATGGTAAAGCTGCTCCAGGGTCAGAACTGAGAGTCTCTAAACTCCAGGACCAGGGCCGTGAACCCAAAGCGTAAAAATGCCTTAAGAGCGAGACAGCAACCCGCTACACAAAACAAGAGCGACAGACCTAGCAACCAACATTAGCCTTCCTGCGTACGTCTAATTCTTTTTTAAATGTACCCTGGTCTGGTGGTTGGCTCGGGGGAGGCAGCGAGTCCCACGAGAGTTCTGGTAAATCTCAGGGTTGCCATCTGGATTGAACCCGTGTTATGGTCCTTTTTCCCCCTGCTGGTGCTCAGCGTGCCACCCGCAGTCAATCAAGCTCAGACACCTGCCACGCCCCTCGAGAGGCTGAGAGGTAAAAAGATAAAATACGAAAAGGAGCTTTTCTGATCACTTCTCGATCGATGCCAGAATCCCAATCAGCTCAACTGGCCGTGACTGCACGCACACCTACAAGGGATTCAACTGTATTTTCCACTGCTGTCAAAAGCGTGAAACTGGTTGAATATAAGCATGAACATTAACGACCATGTGCGAATATAAATAAAGAGGTATACAACAAATAACAACAACAATGACACAATCAGCATCCACCCGGAGGTTATTTGGACCAATCTGCCTCCACGCACGACGGCCCTGTTTGCTCGCACTAAAGGCCCGGAGCGTCGCTTGGAGACGCTAAAGAGGCCTCCGTGGGGCACCATTGGTCTTTCTAGGGTTGTGAGTGAGACCAGGTCACCCCCCCCTTTCCCCCACCCCCCCCCCCCCACTGCCCACAAGACATGTATTCCTCCTCTCAACATGATGATGATCTCAACGAAAGACTAAGTTTGCATTTGGACTCAATGTGATTCCAGTTGGACTTGGTATGGACGGTCCAGTGTGGTTTCAGGACGTGTCGTCCTGTTGCATGATGGGCTGCAGCACATCCACTAACCTGCAGCATCTACATTATCATCATCAACAACAACAACAACAGCAGCAGCAGCAGCAGCAGGTCTCTGCTCGACACTGTGTGGGTCGGATTTAGGCGTTATGGAAGCCGAGATGGAGTCTCTGTTTTTGACCTAATGAAAATGCACCGACTGCGTTGTGGACAATCCCCGCTGGGACCCCGCACCTGCCGACAACCGGGCCTCTTACCGGCTGCTTCACTCGTGTCACCCCGGCGTGCGGCGGCGCTTCGACCGGGCACGAAGCCCTCTGCACACCGGCGGTGCGTTTACTTCCATCCAAAATACCGGTTGCGCTATTCGCTCTGGAAAAGCGCAGGTTTTTTTTTTTCCTCCCCCGGTAGCCACTCCTCGAATAGTCAACAAACAGAGGAAGCGACACAATACGCCGCCCCCCCCCCACCCACCAGCACCACCCAGCACCACCCAGCACGGCTCGCAACGCGCCCGCCACGGAGCCGTTTTGGGCCGTTCCGCGAGAGCAGTCGGCGGTTCTTTGGGGATAAACGAGCGCAGAGCTCACCTGCGTTCAGCAGCGGGGTCGCTGCGGGCTGGAGGTCCGCTCCGCCACTGCCACACCATCCTCCATCTTCCCCGAAGCGGCGGCTGTCTGCCCGTGTGTGTGCGTGTGTGTGTGTGTGTGTGAGTGTGTGTGTGTGTGTGTGTGGTCGCCGGCCCCTCCTCCCCCCGTCGGACGGGGAACGACGGGTGCTGAAGCAGTTTGCAACAAGAAATCGACTCGGAGCTGAAAAGCTGCAAGATCCATTTGACAAAAAAAAGAATTTGCAGCATTGTGGAACAGGCCTCTTAAAAAACAGATAATGACAACAAACAGATATCGATCTCATTGCAATATTACATATTTTTTTCTATTCTTATTTCACGTTCTTGTGTTTTTATTTTCTTTACATTTTTTATTGGAAATTCACCTTACTTTGCATGTTTCAAATCTCCACATTGTGTGTAATTCTGGTGGAAGGAATTTCCATTTTTTTTTTTGCCACATTCATGTAGTCAAAAACATCAAAATAATCCCTCAGATCAGAGATATGCAATATGTATAATTGTTGGAATTCCCAGAAATGCCATCCCAGTCACAGCGACAATAAGGGTAATTAAATAGCATTTTAATATGCTTTATTTATTTAATTATTCCTCATAACATGAGACATGACATTTGGACTGGTCGAGATACACAGATGACAGTAATGATGACTAGGCCGACAGTGAGCATGCACAAAACCAGGCCCACGTTGATAAATGTAATTAATCCTCAGGCTGAAAGAACCGATTGCTGACAAAGCCAAATGTTATCCTAAGACATGTTGTTTCCTGAGTGAATTTAGAAGTCCTGTAGATCGCAGTGACTCACAAAACACCTACTTCGACAACATGGGAGATAATGAAGAGTTGTTGCCGTCTTGGCTTAGGCGTGACTTGGCTGCTGATGTTTTGGCAGAGTGCAATGCATCCGGGGGCATCGGCCTACTGCACCAAGCATCGAGGGACGTATTGCTTCAAAACACCGTATTTTACATCCACATTGATAGCCTCATATAGCTTGCAAAATATTCCCCACACCTTTAAGTGTGTTTGTAAGTAGTGGATCCCTACTTCACTGATTGGTTGGTGGACGGCTGTTATGAAGCCTTGAGGTGCCAATTTGGCCATTCTCGATTTTTGGCAACAAATTACCGAAGGGACCATATTTTTAGAATGCAGGGGAGTGACATAGCGCCACGTATACTTCTTATACATAATTTAGTAAAATAACATCATGCTGTATTGAACAAAACTTGAAATTCAAGGTTGAGGCCATAAACTGTTTATAATTTTCACTGAGTGAATAAATCAAGAGAGAAGCAGAGTCATTTTCTCATAGACTTCTACACTCACCTAAAGGATAGGAACACCCATTCAATTTCTCATTAATGCAATTATCTAATCAACCAATCACATGACAGTTGCTTCAATGCGTTTAGGGGCGTGGTCCTGCTCAAGACAATCTCCTGAACTCCAAACTGAATGTCAGAATAGGAAAGAAAGGTGATTTAAGCCACTTTGAGCGTGGCGCGGTTGTTGGTGCCAGACGGGCCGGTCTGAGTATTTCACAATCGGCTCAGTTACTGGGATTTTCACGCACAGCCATTTCTAGGGTTTACAAAGAATGGTGTGAAAAGGGAAAAACATCCAGTATGCGGCAGTCCTGTGGGCGAAAATGCCTTGTTGGTGCTAGAGGTCAGAGGAGAAAGGGCCGACTGATTCAAGCTGGTAGAAGAGCAACTTTGACTGAAATAACCACTCGTTACAACCGAGGTGTGCAGCAAAGCGTTTGTGAATCCACAACACGCACAACCTTGAGGCAGATGGGCTTGGCGTAAACAGAATGAGAACATGGATCCATCATGTCTTGTTACCACTGTGCAGGCTGCTGGTGGTGGTGGCGTAATGGTGTGGGGGATGTTTTCTTGGCACACTTTAGGCCCCTTAGTGCCAATTGGGCATCGTTTAAATGCCACGGCCTACCTGAGCGTCGTTTCTGACCATGTCCATCCCTTTACGGCACCATGTACCCATCCGCTGATACTTCCAGCAGGATAATGCACCGTGTCACAAAGCTCCAATCATTTCAAATTGGTTTCTTGAACATGACAATGAGTTCACTGTACGAAAATGGCCCCCAGTCACCACATCTCAACCCAATAGAGCATCTTTGGGATGTGGTGGAATGGGAACTTCGTACCCTGGATGTGCATCCCACAAATCTCCATCAACTGCAAGATGCTATTCTATCAATATGGGCCAACGTTTCTAAAGAGTGCGTTCAGCACCTTGTTGAATCAATGCCACGTAGAATTAAGGCAGTTCTGAAGGCGAAAGGGGGTCAAACACAGTATTAGTATGGTGTTCCTAATAATCCTTTAGGTGAGTGTATATGATCACACTTCATTTTGCAAACGGGTAAATTGCCCCCTGCTGGTCAGTGGAGAGAATGCAAGTTATGCAGTTGCTCCACCTTTGCACGAGTAGATTCCATGCAGTCAATGCAGATGCAACATGGTGGCGGAGGAAGCACATTTTCAACGGGCGGTGCGCAGGGTACAAAAGACAGGAATACAGGGAATTGTCTCGCAAAAGCCAATCTGCATTGAGATGCTCTGCTCGTCATCACCATTGTCCAGCTGCCATAGCGTAATTACACTTTATGAAACTTTGCACGTAATTTAGCTGACACTTTTATGCAAAGCGATTTACATTGCATGGTTTCACATGTTTAACCGATCCCACACAGCGGTAGTAGTGTGCAGTCATGAGGGAGCAGTTAGGGGTTGGGTGTCTTGCTCGGCGTTGACATTAGCTACAATCAATAGTGGGGAAGAGAGGTTGCCCTGGCAACCTCAAGGTTGGCGGTTTGAATCCTGGCTGCTCCGTGTCCCACGTCGCCCTAAAACTGCCACTGGTGCTGCGCAGCTGAGATTGAATGCCTGTAAATTAGTTGATTAGTCCGACGTTTGTGTAATTTCCACGACGAGTTCAGAGCAGGAATGGTATTTATTTCCATAGTGGACAGCAGAAATGATAACTGTTTTACGGAGACAAGCTGCAGAGATAAGCCACACCCCCTATCCGGGAGGCGCATAAAGCGAATGAAGACAAATTAACCAACTGGTCGGGCGCAACATGACCACAGAGCTGCCAACTTTTCAAAAAACCTTGGAGTGAGAGGGGTGACCAAAATGTTGCCACGCACGCAGCCACACACGTTGGTGGCTCAAATATCAGGAAATTGGAATTCATTTGGCGTAGTACCCATGTTGTACGCTGCATTCTGGTGGTTTGTGGGGCCCAAAGTGGTTGATAGGGGCGGCCTACTGGAGATGGACAACATTGGATACATTCTGTGAAGCAAAGACACAGCTGATGGTCCACCCCCAGGACATTTTGGTTTAAGTAGATGTTATTTCATGCATTCTAGTGGATCTTTGGGTGGTATGCCTGAACTTATTCTGATTCATGTTCATGTGCTCATGACTTGTGGGGCCTTCTAGACTTGAGCTGAACATTCAACCAGAAAACTATTGTTGTGCCTCAATGACTGTCTATGTACCACAGTATAGCCTAATTAATAGACCTGTGTTTAAGATTTGACCAATTTAGGTTGATTGACATTTTGATTACAATGGTATTCAACTAATTCTTGACTTAACTGAAACCTAACCTATATTGTTAATAATTGTATTCTTAAGAGCACTTAATGATTTATGTTCAGCAAAAAATGACAGTTTTGTTAGGGAAAAATATTTTTCATCATCAAACAAAAAAGTGCAACAAATAAAGTGCTTAAACAGTAGCCTTTCAAAGGAAAACAATGGATACACATAATATAAATACACATAAATAAAATAACAAAAAATGAGGTATTAAGGAGATCAGAAGCTGGTTAGTATTTTTTTTATTAAGCATTGTAACAATGCTTTTTATTTTATTTATGTTTATGTGTATGTTTTGAGCATGCAGGACACCAAGAGGTGAACAAGGTGCTCTCCTGCTGCTGGTTATGACAGCTGAGTTTACATTCACCGCTCAAAATCACACGCACAAACACAACTAATCATTTCTGTGAAGATTTAAAGTTTAAGAGAGTGAGTACTTAATTGAACCACGTGTCATTAACGTACCTTAGTCTTTGCTCCTCTGGGACTCTTTGGGGTAAACAGGATGTCTATGCAGCGAATAGGTTTACAGGTGCGCTCCTTAGCGCCATCTACCGTCGGGGAGTTGGAACGAACGCGCTTCGGCCCAAAATCAGAATTTTTGTTTTTGCCGTGAGAAATTGGTTGTGTGGCGTGAGTGCGTGTTTAAACATGCAGAAGCGTGTGTCTCACGGCAAAACCGTGAGAGTTGGCAGCTCTGTGACCACGAGGCGGTTAAACCGTTAGTCAGCGTTCCATTGCTGCCCAACGCCGTGACTTGGTCGACTAAAAAGTCGCTCCCAAGCTGAAAAGGTGTGGGCACCTCTGCTTTAATGTTAGCTTTGATGGACTTGAAGCCTTTGTTTGTCGACATTGGGATTTTGTGCATGGTTTTAGTTTAATTAGCGTTGGCCGTAGCTACAATCAAGTGTTCGGCCTGTAGTAACCGAACTTACAATAAAACTAGTTAAATGAGTGCCATCACTAAACCAGCAGGTAAATAGGTAATTCCCTGAGATCTTAAATTGTTTTCCTAACCGCTAAACGTATCATGGACTAAAGGTATATTTTCGTCTGTGAAGAGCAAAATGAAAGACAGGAAAGCCTCTGTGATTCATTTCTAACCCCACACCTGGATTGCAAATTGTCGCTACCATTATTCCGTCGTTATTTCAGCCACTTTCAGCATCTCGGTTTCCAGGCAACTGGAGAAAAGTGAACGTTAAAAGAAACCGTATCAGTATGTTTTTCAAATGAGAGTTTAAAAAGAACTGAAAACGATTTAAAGAGCAGAGTTTCCAATTCCTGATTCTAAAACGGCCGGGCATTTAGCCGACGCTTTTGTCCAGAGACTTAAACGTGTTCATTTAAACCAGGACAAAAATCCAGAACAAGACTATTTACAACTATGGATAAAAGCCATTACGAGATGAATATAGATGAATGTCCCGTCATCGGCATGAACGGGTTATGAACTTTATGCAATTTCTAATGACTTTTCAAATATGAAAGTATATAGAATTGTTCAAAACCCCAAGATACATTTGACATGAGTTTTTTAACACCACAATAAGTCTGTGGAAGCATTAGGTGATGGCTTAACTTCAACATAAACTCATTTCAGTTATTTTCCAGCCATACCGTACAAACTAAAATCAACAAAAACCTTTATCCCAGATGAGCTTTATTCTCTTGGTAGGCAGATGACAAAACATTGAAAGTGAAGATAAGACTTTACCTCTATAAATAAATAGAAAATGTGAGATGCTAGGGATTATTCAGGAAGGACGTACCCTCCCCTGAAAACACTCAAGAATAAATTAGAAAAAAAATAAACAATAGCAACATTCTTTTTTTAAAAGCTTGTTAAACCTTTAAAAAATATATTTCTGCATAGATAGTCTTGTATTCAAAGTTTGTGTTCTAGGTCTGTACGGTTGATAAAATACGCCATACAGTTCGGATATGCACCCGTTGTCAATGAACAAACTTAAAGACTACATGGCTCAAAAATACTAGTTTCAAGATTATCTATGCTCATGTACACAGTGATTTTGAGGTGATACAGCGTCTTACTTTGTAACTCTAAGTACAGCGTGGCACGGGTTACATGGAAGCACATGGAGACAGTGGGACGGGCTTGTTTTGGCTAGCCAACCTGTGCACAGTGGCCACGAAAACAATTTGGTTTGGTTCCCCTCAAAATGTGCCATTTCGTCCTCAGGACCGAGCCGGTGTGAGCGATCCGACCGTACCTCTACATACGGATGTTACGGCACTCCAAACTGCATCGAGGGAACGACGGATGTGACCACGTGGTGTGTGTCACAGTGAATATTGTGTCGCACCGAAAAAGCCAAAAACGGGTCAATTTTTTTTCTTGAATTCAGGAAAAAAACATCAAAAAAAAAAAAAACATCTTCCCTCATCAACTGAGATGAGACGATATATTTGAAGCTTTCCTTTACAGGCAAAGAGCCGCCTTCTTTTGGTGGCCCACCATTTAATCTCAAAAAGACAACACACTGTGTTAGGATTGTGCCATGAATTACATACCGTAAACAATTAAAAGGACGACTTGAACGTCAAGACAGTTTATCGTACAAACTGTTGATGTGGTTTGACCTTTTGTTACTTAACACTTCCTTAACAATTCAAAAGGACCCTGTCCAAAACTAAAACGGTTATTGGAGACACCACACAACCATTGGTCGCTCGAGTGACGTCTCCTGAAGCTACCGTGCACGTGTACTTAGACCAGCGGGACTTGCTCAACAAAACGTATCAGGTCACATTTAAGCACGTAACGTAGTTAAGTTAGTTAGCTACTGGTGTGTGTGATCATATATATATTATTCATTTCTGTCGAAGGAATTGAATGTATCTTTTACAGTGTTCATTCTGTACCAATGACATCCATTGCAATCAGTCCATCCCGGGAGAGGGATCCTCCTCTGCCGTTCATCCTAAGGTTGTCCCTTTATTTCTACCCAATCAGTGTTTTTCATGTTTTCGGGGAGTGCCTGATGTGAGGGTTTTGGGACAGCGGATGTTGAACACGTACAGACTGTAAAGCGCCCTGAGGAAAGATTTGTAATTTTGGGCCATACAGAATAATTATCAATTAATTGGTGACGGTAAGGTTTCACACAAAACTAAACCGTACCACAACAAACTGGGAACTTTCTTGACAAGCAAAAATTGTCCTTAAAATTGTCAAACACCACCAGTGAACATGGCACAATTAAAAAAAAAAACCCCACTGTTGACCACTGTCAGTATTTCTTCTCGGAAATAAGGTGGGGACTAGGAAGGGAAAGGACTTCGGTTCTCTTTTGAAGAGACTGTGCAGATGCACCTTTAAGTGCGTGCCATAAATTATCTCCCAAACTCTCCAAAAAACAAGGAAAGACCGTCGACCGTTAGCCAGCCGCCGGGTCGACCGTTAGCCAGCCGCCGGGTCGACCGTTAGCCAGCCGCCGGGTCGACCGTTAGCCAGCCGCCGGGTCGACCGTTAGCCAGCCGCCGGGTCGACCGTTAGCCAGCCCGGTGCAAAGTAACAGACATTGAAAAAACAAAAAGAAGTGTACCCCACAGAACATTGCCTATAAATGAAATAGTCCAAAGTGCTGCTGAGTTGTGTGACATGGCAGCATATAGCACCAGCGAATGTTGGGGAGACGCGGTCGTCCGAGGTTGAATGTCAGTGCCGCTGAAACCGCTCCCCCGCTTGTAGATTTGGTGCTTGGGGTCGGCAGAAGGTGAAGACTCGCGGGGCCAGCCAAGACTTTCTTCGCGCCGGACGCAACTTGTTCCTTAAATGAGGGCGAGCTTTTTGGTTTTCTGTTGCAAGCAACTGTAACTTAGCTACATAGTTGGGACTTGCTGACAGCATTAACCAGTGAAGACTTGAACCAGGAGCAGAGACCCCTGACAAAGAGGTCCCCGCCTTCAGAATGGAAATGTAAAGAACTATAGTGGTGCTTAAAAACCTGCCACTGCACTAAGGGAGTACATGTTAAAGCATTTTTAAAAACAGTTGAGTGTGAATATTATATTGTCAGATCCAGTGATTTAAAAAGAAGTACGCCCGTTTTCATTATTTCTCATTCATACTTGTTTTTCCTGTCGTTTAAGAAAGTCACAGAAATATGAATGAATCAAATGATGTGATGTCATCAAGGGTAAAACCTGGAACTATCAAGCTAAAGACAATGAGTTGGGAAAGACGGGAATATTTAGTATTCGGGTACATGGTCTGTTCCACAAACAGGGCTTCTCAACCTTATGTTACTCAACGCTTCCATAACAATCCAAAAGGCCCAGATTCCAAAATAAATGATTAAAAAAGAAAGTTACAACTGGGCTGTAAATAGGTCTGTCAGCTGTAATGACAATATTAAATATTCCGTTCACCCTTCATTGCCTGCCGGTATGAGTACAGATTCATCACGACAAACTGGAGTTTTTGGTCTTCAGAGTTGGTCTCTCTTGGTAATTACATTTGATTTTTGCCGTTTTCTATGAATGGGAATTCTTCAGCACATTTAGATATGAAAATAACATTTTATATTGCCAAAATGAATTATATTTTTAATAGAATCCACCAAGTGGTTGAGAAGCAGCTGGAATTACAGTCACTAGGGTAAATAAATTAATGAAAAAAAAAAAAAAAGCAAATCAGTCTCCCATTCATTGTCCAGACTTTATACTTGATGACATCTCAAGTTTGAGAGTGCAGCTCATGGCCCCAAATATTGATCAAGGTTTACTTATTTATAATATTTGCTATTAACTCCAAAGGGCCAATAAAACACAAGAAAATAATGTGGGACTAAAAAAAATAGAATGTAGATTATTTCAAATTGCCCCATTACTGTGAAACTATACCTGATCACTTTCATATTAACAATTTGGAATCCATTTTTCCTTCACTAGCTGAAATGCCCTTTACATTTTTATGTCATCGCTTCTGTTGGGGTTTTTAGAAACTGTATTTTTGGGCATAAATTCTCCTCCACAAAGTCAACACGCCTCCTCCTATGGCAGCCGTATCTGGATTCTCTGCTGAGATATTAGAACAGATATTACAAAGACAAGAAAATGCAGTGGCGAGTTGACCTGAGGCATTGAGCCTCCTCAATGAGAAGCGAATCGGAGCCTTTTGCCTTTAGGGTCCGTTTGTTTCCATTCTGAAGGGGGCACTGGCTCAGGTAAAGCTCCAGATGTTTTTGTCGCCGAACGACGTCTTTGTTCTCCAGGACCCCGTCCTCTTTGCCCACTGTCAGGAGAACGGGGACAGGACCCGCGGCGCCCCGCTGGCCGCTTTCTGAAGTCAGCACCGCAGCCGAAGCATGAGGAGTTATAAGCGCTACAGGTAGGTAAGCTCATCCTAAATCGGCGTCTAAAGGCAACTTACAGGTTAGAAAGACAGACGGGGACTACCTGTCTCTCTACCGCTCAAGGATGTTGAACGATGACAGTGTCCAACCACTTCCTGTACGCCAGGGCGAAACGTCTCTGCTCGGGGTCACAGTCGCTGTCTAGGATCCCGCTCACGAAGCCGTGCTCGGAGGGCAGGGCGGGAGCGCCAGGGGGCAGGGCGCCCCGCTTCAGTCGCTTGCTGTTGCGGGGGTCCGGCAGGGACGCCCCGTCCACCTCCATAGCTTCGCCGGCATGTCTCGGTCCATTCACACCGTCCTCCCCCAAGCCCGCAGGGCTTTGCGCGCAGGCCTTCAGCGGCCCCTCGTCGCCGTTCTCCAGACGGTCCGGCTCGCTGCCTCCGTTGCTGCCACGGTGGCACTGATGTTTGTGTTCCCTCCTCCAGTCGTGCCACAGGTAGTAGACGTGCCGCCTGGAAGAAGGGAGGGGAGAGAAGAGAAGGGGTTTTTATGCAGGTGGCCCAGGGTGAAATACTGAAATGATATCTGTTACATAATACGGAAGAAGAAGAAGATTAAAGTGGTCATAACAACAAAAACCTTCTGGGATTAAAGTCTACCAGTGAATGTCCTTGTTTCCAAATTTAAGATACAATTGGAGGGATCCTTGACTGAAGAGCAGGGATTTGATGACATTGTGTTCGTGAAAAGGCAGCTGATGAAGGATCCGTCCTCCTTAAAAGCCAAAATTTGTTATTAACTTAACTAACTTATTATTTGTGATGCACTGAGGTTCATCGAGAAACGCCACAATAGTGCTTAAATGCACTGCGGTTCATCAACTTCCTGCCGGTTACTCTGTGCAGCATCACTGGTTTTAGACCATATGACCACTGATGAGTAACTGCTTAGTGAGATCAATGTAGTACACTCATACGGACAAGACACGAGGCCACCCTTTTTATCGCACGCAAACTGACAAACTACAAACTACCCCTCTGGACTAACTGCAGTGCTCCTTAGAGCTATATATTTGAACTTCTACGGCCTCACCTGTGGCTCCAAAGCGTCTCGTGGCCGGGGAAGGACTGGATGAGGTCAGTGCACAGCTCCACCTCCTGGTGGAAGAGCTGAAGGAGCGCGGTGGAGCTGAGCTGCCTGCCGTCCTCACCCGCCTCCTCCCCGTTAGCTTGGTCGTGGTGCGGGGGACTGATGCCGGCGACTGTGCTGCACATGTGCTGGAGTACACCGGTGGAGGTGGTGGTGGTGGTGGTGGAAGCTGCAGCCTGAGAGAGCTCGGCGATCAGCTCCTTGAGGAGGTACTGACGGTAGTGGAAGCCGCTGTGGTCCGACACGTGCATGGACACCCAGAGGCGCGTGGAGGACAGCTCATCGTGGAACACCTGAGGGGAAAGGTGGCCGTTTGTAAAGGAGCAGCAGGAAGGAGACGTGACATATGTAGGTGGAGGTTCTTTGGCCGGGGCAAACACCAGGTCCACGTGATGGATTGTGTTCAGTAACGGTCGCACAAAATATGTTCGTTCGCACATAATCACCACTCATCAATTCAAGCTTGGTATTAGGGCCATCGGAGTTTCAAAAATGTATTTATTGAATATAATAATAAATGAGCTGTATTGTCTTATTATTGATATTAATATATAATATATATATATAACAGTTGACATGCAACTAAATAAATGCATATATATTTATATATCAAAAATATCAGAGGTAAAGGTAGGAAGTGGAAAGAAGAGGAAATGTTCGCTGAGATTCGTAAAGACTCAAAGGAAACGCTCTTAATTAATAAAATCCTCATTTGCGAGTCGCTGCAAAAAAAAGAAAGAAAAAGGAAATGATATAGATCCAGTGAATGCTTAATATCTTATCTTGTTTGTATTTAGCTAGAGATGCATTCATGCGTTCAACCCAATTATAAGAATATAAGAATAGATCAAGAATTAAAGATAGTTCGGTCACAATTTAAATCATTAGAGCGGTAACACTTTATATAGTTCTTTTGAATACAAAAGTCCCGCACATTGATCTCGGAATAATAACCCTCTGACCCAGGCACGACAATAAGCGCTACTTTTCCTGCAATGGCACACGGTAAAAATATCATGCAAACAATTTCTATATTTTATCCTTTTACTTTGTCATAGTAATAATGGCAGTTCAAATGAGGAGGGAGTATCAGTGATCAACCCTAGACAACAGACTCCCTACCTCAGTCATGGGAAGGTAGTCAAACCTTTACTCTGGTTGAAATATGAGTAAACGCTAACGGTAAGTGCCTGAAGAGGAACGTCAGTAAAGTTCCGCCTGAATGGAACCCTCCGATATTTTGTCCTGTTTTTTTTCAACGCAGTTGAAGCAGTAGGCTGTATGCGGGGAGAGAATTAATCTGGGTCAGATCAGGTTACTTTTTACCTGTTTACTTATTTCCATTAGGCCAAAAGGACCGTGGTGTTCACAGAACGGTCAAACTGCAGCACGGTGCGACTCCTCCTGGTCCTACCTTGACGTTGCCCGTGGCCATGTGCTGCAGCACCCAGATGCGGTGGGACCAGGCGTTGTAGTTGCTGGGGTAGCGGCAGGCGGCGTCGGAGCACACCTTCATCTCCTGATGGAGCGTCCTGGCCAGCTGGTCGTTGAGCCGCCGGCTCTGCTCGCCATCGGCTCGCTCCTCTTCGCTCTGCGGATCCTTCTGGCTGCGGCCTGAGGACTGAAGCAGGATCTGCTGCAGCACCCAGCGTCTGTGGGCGGAGGGGGGGGGGGGGGGGGAAGAGTCATGAGACTACTGTTTGACTGCGTTGTGTTAAAAGAGCACAGAAAACGGGACACAAGGAACGCATCAGAAAGAGGCATCTTTCCGTCACCGACTCCCGCTGGAGGACGGGCAGCTTGTGTTTGAATTAAAATTCAATCTGTCCATTTACTACAAAGTGCTGCTCGTCTTCATGGACAATATAGCTCTAAGAGTGTTGTGTTGTGGACTTGTCCAGAGGCCAGGGAACCGGGCCCAGGTTGATATTGGCAACCAGACACGGAATAGTCCATGGTCTGGACATAACACACCGACGGCACAGGGTTGATTAACTGTTGACTGTTGATTAAGTAATTAATTAAAACCAAACAAACTGTTCGTCAATTACCCTTTTGCCTTATATTTTGATGCTTTTTAATGGGTTTTTTTAGAAGCACTTGGAATGGCTTTGTTGTTCAAATGTACTGTACAAATACACTTTGCACAGGGGGAAAAAAACAGGGCGCTGTTAACGTGCTTCTCTGCGTGGAAGGACTGCGGGGGAGTTTAGAGAAGTGCCTCCTACCGGTGTATCCACGTCTCTGGGCTCTTGGGGAATTTGGTGAGGGCCAGTTTGCCCAGGTAGAGGTCCTTCTCTGGGCTCAGCGCTCCGCACTGCAGCAGCTCCTTCCTGCAACGACAATCGGCCACGCGTTACGCCAGACCTTTGGAGGACGGCGTCTTCTGCCGCGGCGGGGCGCTCGACATCCCGTGGGGGAATGCATATTTCTGTAGCCGCGCTGTAGGGCAGGAGGGGTGTCCGTACCTGACATTCCATGCGGTGGTGAAGTCCGGGTTCAGCAGCAGCAGGGTGCAGGTGATATCCGCTAACGCTGCAGGGACACACGGAGAGGAGCTCCACGTTATCATCATCGTCGTCGCATGGCGTTTTGACATCAATTATCAGCTCATCAACACGGCTCCCGCTACACAATACGCTTTCTATACATGTAGGGCTGCAACCAACTATTAGTTTGATAATCGATTAATCGGTCGATTATTTCTTTGATTAATCAGATTTTCTTTTTTAAACGCATTAAAAAGCTTTAATTTCCAACCCTTTATTCTAAAACAGAAGCGCAAAAATTGCAAAAATACTTCAGAAAGTACAGGTTGCTCCTTGAACATAATTTATAAAAAAAAGAAAATACAAATAAAGATTTTTTTTAACGTCAGAACTTGTTCTCTATACTACACTCAAACTCTCACACTAACACCTCCATGTTCACTTGAAGCTTATTCATTAAATTATTACCATAATTGTAGTGCAAGTAAATGTATACAGCTAAAAAACAACCAAGTACTAGGAGATGAATTTAAAATGGCATTTGTAAATAAATGCATTAGAGGCTTCTTAGTTGATTTAATGGATCACCGTGTGTCTCCCTTTACATCGACTACCGTATAACCCACAGTATGTGCGCAAGCGCACTGGACTACCGTAAATGACAGCATTAAAAAGGACAACACACAAAAATATATTTGTCAACAATAACCGATGTGGGACAAAGCACAAAATATATACAAGACAACAGATTGAAAAAGGAAATGAAAAGGTCCAAAAGAGGCGAGTAAATAAAAACGTCTCTTAGTCCTGCTAACTGCTTTACTGCTGTTATTAGCGAGCTAGTGCTAGCTTGATCAGCTGGATGACGAGTAAACAGGAGACTCGTTACGTTCCTCACGTCAAAACGGGACAACGTGGTGCTCCCGTGCCATGTACCCCCCTCGCACACCTTTTACGACTAGTCGAACAGACGTCTCTGCCTGCGTCATGTGACTCACAACAACTGCTCATTTTAGCTTTTGATCATTTTAAATTTACTAGCAAAAAGTCTGGCGAAACAAAATATGGTTCGACACTCCCTTTTCTTTATCACAGTCATCCACAACTAGAAAGTCCACGTTGTTCGGTCCGGTGTAGGAACCCGTTCCTCTGCCCGTATCCTTCATGGAGGTTGAGCTCCCTTACCTTCCCTGTCCAGCCAGTGCTTGCGCTGGCGGTAGAGCAGCAGCTTGTTGTGAACGGACGGCAGGAGGAACTTGACACACCAGCTCTCCACGCCCAGCTTGTTCTCCACCAACACGATGGGACTGCGGTTGTAGCGGGCCTCCGGACACGGGATCACGCCGATTTCGTCACTGGGGGAGCAGATGGCAAACAATGAAGGTAAGGGAAGGGTTTCACGTGTGGCGTGAGGACAGGTGTTTGGAAAACCTAAATAATGTTTTCTTTTAGTCAGCGTAGTTCAAGTAAAATGAATGTAGAGCGCCGTGAAGTCTGTGACCTCCCAGCAGAGAAGCCTTGTTGTGTAACTGTTGTGTTATCTCAAGACGGGGACGCAGACATATTGGAGGATGTACGTCTCATGTGCATAGGTCATAACTTCAAAGATACAGACCGTAGACCTTGATGTATGTTGTGTAGCAACTTCTCACATCTATGTACATGTTTCAACTCTGCTCCCAATTTTTTTTTTACGATCACATTATTTACTTTGAATGCTCATAGTTTATATAGTACAAGTTTAACCACGCTCTCAGACAAGGGTGCGTAACAAAAGAAATCAACATCGACGGCCCTGCATGGCAGAGGATGGTTTCACGAGCTCCACCCACTGGTACTCACTATTGTAGTACCCACAATTATGGTTGAGACTTTCATAGAGAGTCTCAAATGTGGTGGGACTTCCACACAGAAAGACGCACTGGGATTTCCAACACAGTTCAAAGTTGAGCCTGACGCGTGGCGCTGTACGGCGACCCGAAACACAGCGGGGACGTTCAGTCTGCGGCTGCTTCAGCGGCTTCATCGCTCTCGCCATCAGCCACTGTACCTACTGCTCCCAACTTTAACAAATGCCCTGTTTAAAGATTTTACACAGGGGTTGAGTAAATAAGTAACATCAGGGAAAAGCCGTGCGAGCTTTGTGTCTCATTCTCAGGAACATCCTGGCGTTTTCATTTCAGTTGGCTCTTTATAGTCCAGGTTGAATCTTGAATTGTTCGGGCAACATCAATCAGCAGCATGGCCTTTTTGAGAAGTTCATGTCTTGTTCTCATGCTCCTTCCCACTGCAAGTTAACAGCAATCCTACAGGCTCATGTCAAATGATGACATCGCTGTCAGAAGAGATTTGGAAAGGAATCCTCGTCAGAATGGAGATATCTGTAAGTTTGTGATTGATGCCTGGAAAATCGTGTAAATTGATAAACAAGTATAGGTCAGGATTGAACCGTCAACTAAAAATATTATAGTTGCAAGAGATGCCTGCGTGGCGTGCATTGGTTGTACAAAGTTCTGAATAAGCTGTGTAGGAGCACAGCTTTCAATTCATAAACAAAGAATTTACCAGCTTTCTCTCCCGGTTGTTATGTCAGCTGAAAAATCTCAAATGTTTTCCATCACTCCTCTCAAGTCCAGAGTTACATATTACTTCTCATCATATCACATATTATGGTTCTCATCTCATGAATAAGTGCTTTATAAATCATATTTTGAAATACTATTGCAGTTCTGCAATAGTATTTCAAAATATAATATATATGCAGTAATGCCATTTCAAACATGGAATAAATGGTAAGTGGACTTATTCACGTACTTTTCTAACTACATGTCATCATCCAGCCATTCATGCACTGATGACGGGGGTGAGAGGAAGTTGTGGTGAAGGGTCTTAACCAAGGACACATGGACACAAGTGGAGCCGGGGATCGAACCGCCGATCCTCTGATTGAAAGACGACCCTGTCATTTAAACCGGATGAGATGGACAGCTTGTCTCCCTTTGACATGCATTACATAACTGGTAATGGCTCGTTAGCTCGGTTCAGCAGTAATGTATTCTACCCGGTCGGTAGGACGAAGCTTACAGCAGCGCTTCATTTAGTATGTGTAGTCTAGCTACATAGATGAGAAGCTAGTGCCGTTAGCCTGTGGAAGCATAACGTTAGTATTCAGCCTGACGCCGGTGTACCCCTACCAAAGGGACTATAGTAGCCATGTAATAGGGCGGGAAAACAGAAACTGGTAAAATAAGAAACATTTTTAAATATTGGTTTATTGAATTGACGTTAATTCATTCGAGTAGCTTATATTGTGGCTTCGTGTCGAATGTTTTTAGTTTTGACAGCCTCCTTCACCACGTCTAAAGGAGAGCTAATGTAGACTCGCGAAACATAAACAACGATCTCAACGTGGTGTTATTTAACGCCAAAGGGGCAGCTAATGGTCTGACTAGGAGCCAGTTCCTCTGGCTTTTACAGAATAAACAAACACACAGCTAGGCTAGCTAGCTAAACTGTCAACTTTCCCCGGACCGCTCTGACTCCAGGTAATAGTCCGAGCCCACGCAGCTGAAAGGCAGCCGTTGGGCTCGGGGACCCCGGCAGAGACGCAGTGCCGCTCCGGTCCGTCTGGTATGTGCACGGTCCACTATACTCACATGTTGGGGTTTCTCTTGAAGGCGTTGGTGATGTCTTTGACAACTCTCTGGACCAAGACGTCCACCTCCTCCTCCGACTCGGCCATCTTTGAGCCACCCAATGACGTAACATGGAGCAAAAAGTTTTTCCGGGTAAAAAAAGAGGAAAAAAAAATCTACGGAAGCCGGAGAGACGTTAGGCGAAGATATCACGAGGAGTGATTTTTATGCGGTCTCTTATGTCATATTTATGAATATAGAATAAATGAGATGTAATAAACGGCTGATCCTGTCTCTCATTTGTTTTGTATGAACATTAATTTAAGTAGTTATTGTGTTATTTTTTGAAAAATGTGCACACCTTGAAAGGCTGAAGCAAAGCGATGTTGGAATTCAGCTGCGAATCCCTTTCAAACATAAGGCTTAAATGCATATTTAATCCCCTTTGAAGAGAAACAAATGTTGGTAAATAAATCTAATGTAAGCAAACCTAATTCTATCATTATTCCACAGAAAACAATGATGCATTGAAGAATAAATACAAATGCTATTCTCGTCCAGTATAGTTGGGTGAAGTTAGCCCAGGAGCACCAGAGGCATGAAACTACAAAATAGAATTAAAGCTGCAAGCAGCGATGAACGGGGCCTTCGCCTCCCCTTGCATGCCGGGGGGGCAGCGCTCAGCCGGATGCGCGGTCAAAAAAAGTTAGTCTGGGATGGGATGTGAACTTGGCCCCTACACACACTGACCCTAGATTAGCCTGTCGGCCACAGACCTGCTGTACTGAAAGCTTTTCATAAAGTTAAGATCAAATTTATACAGTCAGGTCACACCTGTTTCAGCGTGTCTGCAAAACACGGGAGCTGTGGATTCACTGTGCGGCTCGAGACGCTCCGGTTAGCTCGCCACCTCGTTTCTCTACATGAAACTACAAAATAGAACAACACGTGACCCCAAACCGTTTCGGTGAGAATGCAGTTTCACAGTTGGATTCCATGCAGGATGATTCCTCACTGCTGGAGTTGTCCATGTTTGAGGAAACCTCTCCTGAGTCAGATGATTCCGTGTTGCTTTCAAAATCGCTAAGATATTCATGACATTCGTCTGAATCACACGCAGGGCAGACGACCATCAGGTCAAAGGCAGCTTGTGTATAAGAGCTTCTGTGAGCGTAGTCAGCCAGGTGACTCATGGTGACAAAAGAATGTTCCAAGGCTTCCTCAGGTGTTATTCTCATCTCAGCATCTGGATTGAGCAACATTTGAAGGAGATTTAAAAATGCCCTTGTGTCTTCAACTTCAACATCCTCAATTGGATTTGAATATTTGTTTACTGCGTCCGCCAAATTGCTGATATGGTCAAATTCCCACTCTGACAACCGCAGCTGGTCGTCATTTTTCTTCTTGTACTCTTCTGGTGTCTTCAGTCTCCATCGTGAATTGGGAGTGCAGCGTTTCCTCTTGAAATACTGGTGAGTGTTTTTTCCAGCATCTAGCAGGTGGTCTTGTGGCTGACCGAGCAGACAGCAAATAGTTTTCATTACGTCGTACGATGATTGTCCATTGAAGATGTTCTGACCAAAAAACAGACATGCCAAGAGACATCCCAGTGCCCACATGTCAATGGCAGCAGATATGGGGAGGCCCAAGGACACTTCTGGTGCTCGGTATGCACAAGGTTGTACAATCATTCCTTCCCATACGTCGGAGGCTGTCATGGCCAAACCAAAGTCAATTAATTTCACTCTGAAGGGCTCATCTTGGTGGTTGACGAGCATAACGTTGTCAAGTTTCAGGTCTGTGTAAAGGAGGCCGATACCCTTCAGGGCGTCGAATGCTACAAGTAACTGACGGGTTATAGGACGGATTTCATTAAGAGTCAATCGTTCCTCTCTCTGTAACATCAAATCCCAAAGACTTTTGTCTAGCAACTCAAAAGTGATGCAAGACTTGTCATCGACTATGAAACTGTCCATGAATATTTCTCTCTGGGTCAAGTTTCCTGAGCTTTTCCAGCATTTCTACTTCCTCTGCATAATAATTGTCGTCTTTGAGGATCTTGACGGCCGTATTCTCATTTGTTTTCATATTGACACACTTGGCTACTTTGCCAAAACATCCTTCTCCAATAAAGTCCAATACTTTGTATCGTACAGACTTGTTGCGGAGTATGAAAAGCTCTTTTTCCTTCAATGGTTCTGGTGAGGTTGGAGTTTCACAGTTAGATTCCATGCAGGATGCTTCTCCAGTCCTGGAGTTGTCCATGTTTGTGAAAACCTCTTCTAAGTCAGATGATTCCATGTTGCGTTCAAAATCGGAGATATTCATGACATTCGTCACACGCAGGGCAGACGACAATTAGCTCAAAGGCAGCTTGGTATCTCTGGGTCAAGGGTCCTGAGCTCTCAACCAATTCAACTTTTGCTACTTGATAATCAACGCCTTTGAGGATTTTGATGGCCTGACCTCGGGGGGATCGGAGATCCTGACACTTTGTGCAGACGTTTCCTTGTTCAGTGGAGAAAACGTTCTTTTGGTCAAAGTTAGAGAAATCTTCACAACTTTCTCACTCAAGAGCTCTGCAGTGGTCCCTTCTTTTCAGTTCTGAGTTATGGAATGGAATGGAATGTCTTGCCATTGTCAGACGCTGCATGAGGCCGGAGCCGTTGCTGGCACGGAGGGATGAAAATGAAAATACATTTATTGGGCAGTTCTTAAGAGGGGAAAGTAGCATGGATTCTTTCATAATTCTGATTTTGGACCCAATTTGCCTCAAATGTAAGATCACATTTTTACCTACATGACGGAAACTGTAGGATAAGATTGGCCATATTTTGCAAAGATTGTATCTTTAGACATTGAAGTTCTTATCTGAGAGGAGCTATATTTCAAAGCCCACTGTCCTTTAATACTGCATGCTCAAATCAAGCCTCAGTTCTTATTGTTCTACAGCACGGTTCCTTTCTTTAAAGGTTTGGTTCTCTTTGTGATGGTATCACCATGTCACTCTCGCCTATGGAAGTACAGCTAGCGCTGGTCAGGGTCTCTGAACGTATGAGACATGCTGGTCTTGAAATGGAAATAATGTCCGTTGAGGCTGTGGTCTCGTTGTGTTATCACCCCGTCTCCTCCACTGTTTATCTGGAGCCAATCTGGCGACGCTTGTTGGAACATAAATATATGTTATTAAGTCGAAGCAGAAGAGATTCCTGAATGTCACCAGATGGGGTCCTAAGGTTTCCTTGTAGGGCCTCGTCCAGTTTAACAACATAGCACCAGGGTTAAGAGGATCAGATTCTGCGCCGTTGCCCCCTGGCGTCTGCTCTTCACCTCATAAGCGTGCTTGGACAACAAGCATATTGTCATGTGTTTCTCACCAACAATCGATTTTTAATCGGATTTTATTATAGCAGTATATCTCAAATCTTGATTTCACAAAGGATGTAAAGCAATTGCCCTTTGATCCCACATGAGCACCCGACAGACCTGACGGCAGGGGGTGGTATGTGGCTATTACAGCCCTAAACCCTGTGAGGAGCCTTAGGCTGCCAGAGAAGCTTGCAGAATGAAGCTCAAAACATTACGCAATGCAGGATTTGCCTCACAGAGCAATCTCGACATTTTCCTCCTGCAGTTTGTTTCCCTGTTCTGAATCAAAGAATTCACTGAAGATATTTTGTTTAGGCAATGGAACAGCTTGACAGTCATTTCCTCCCCCACCTGGAACTCAGCAAAGCAGGCAACTTCACTTCAAACAATCTTGCATAAGAGATGGCGAGCACTTGTGGAAACTGGGTTTTCCAGTTGCGAAGGCATTACCAGTTCTTTTCCAACTAAAAGCACAAAAAAAACATTAAACAGACAACTAATCTCACTCTTCCTTTCAATCATGTGTGTGCGGTATGTGAAGCTCAGCAAATGGTTTTTGCTGAATGACACATTTGAACAACATCTGAGCGATTGCTTAAGATTTGAGAAATATGGTTATTTTCTCTGAATTTCCAGTTTGACTATTCTCCCACTGGAACAGCGGTGTTAGATTCCATATTAGTGAAGTAAAGTAGCTCAAACTTAAATTAGCTATTAGGATGTTAAAATTAGGGAGTTTGTTGGGTAGAAAGTGCATCAGGTACAGGACAAAGTGACCTAAATGTACAATTTACAAAAGGAGTTTAGCGTCAATGACTTTCTTCCAAGGCAAAGTTTCCATAAAGCTCAGTATGAAAATCCTCCCGCAGTCTCCATATTCTTATTACAGGAAAGTGTTCAGCTGCCCATTTCCAACCAGAGGCTTGAATTAAAAAAAAGCAAATTGCAAGTGGCACTGTGAAAGTGCAGCTTTCACACAAATCATGATGACTTCTAACCCTCCAACTGACAGTCAATTGCTTTGCATGCCCTTTTAGGGTAGAGTTCCGAGTCTATGGCATGCTCAGTGGGTCATCAAGAGACGTTTTATGGCTTAGTTAATATTTATTGCACAAAAAAAAAAAGTAGACAACGTGGAGGGCATAATTGGCTACACACAAGTGAACCTTTAGCCACTCAAAATTTGATGATGCAGTTAAGTGCTTTTGAAACCATTGGACTCAATATAGACATTAGTTTAAAATCATGAACTTTGCCTTCACAACTCTCAAATAGCCCATTAGTATCGCTCCAGGCCACAGTAGAATCTGCCACCGGAAGGGTAAATACAGACAAGAGGAATTGAAAATTAGAGCAAGCACAGATTTATCTTCCAGGATGGTAAAGCTGAAGATCTGGAAAACAAAGCTTGATTAGGATGAACACCGCTTATTATTAACAAGTGTTCCATTTACATTGCCTTGAAAATGCTCATTGGCGGTCTTTGACAGGTTGTCCAGGGCTGTTAGCAGGAAGCAGCATGGGTGGAAACAGGACCTCTCCAGGAATGTAGAGAGTTTGGGTGAACTGGCGTCTTCCATTGTTGTAGCGCGAGCGGGACTTGAACGAGTACACGGGCTCCAGGTCCGACACGTCACTGAACACAGGCTTGGACGCTTCCTCCTCACCAGCGGCAGGAAACGTTGCATAGCCGCTGTCAGAGGACCCGGAGTAGAACGCAGGCCCAGCGGAGCCCACACCTGCGTTAGCGTACCAACTGTTGTCAAGGCCAGAACCAGGTGCAGGACTGTCATAAGCTGCTAAAAAGGATTAGGATCTAGTCAGTTGTAGAATTTAAGTTCAGCACTGTGCAGTCTCTAGATGGCCAACGTTACCTCTTGGTGCAGGGAGACAAGTCACACTGCAGAGCAGCAGGCAAGAAACCCACAACATCCTGCAACACAATCAAGTTCAGACAACTGACATAAGACAACTCAAAACACTTAAGAACAGTTTTGCTGCTTACCTCAAAGACAACCTGCAGCACACAGCCATTGTGATACTAGATTCACTGCTACACACCTGAGTCCTCTGAGTGCTCCTTAAAAAGGATCCTGACAGCTGCTAATTGATTGCTGATTGGGATCAGCTGGTGGCAGGTGGGACCTTCCCAACAATCAACTTCACAGTAAGCGCGTTGAAGCGTTCACCACACGGACCGCGATCTTACCAAAATTACAATAACCGGGTTTGGTTTCATTCATCCAGGTTCAGAGATATCGACAATACTATTGTGGTTCTTGGAAAACAGGATTTGAAAAATTCTAGAAACGTGTTTTCTGAAACAGCGTCCACTTGTTGCTCCACGCATGATTAACAGACGTCATCATGCTCCTCAAATGACCTAAATAGGCCATCTTCATATATAACTTTGATAGCATGTATTCCTTTTGCCAGCCGTGTATCCCATAGAATTGTTTTTCAGCCTACACAGATGACTCCAAAGGGAGAAGTAGTCTTGTTTGTAATGAGATAACGAGCATCTTGTGTCCACTGAGAGTATCGTAAAATTAGATCTCTTTGTTTCATGTGTTTTGTAATGTGTTTTCGTGATATGTCTATAATCTGATGTAGTGCTGTTAGCATCCCTTCCACTTTTACCCATGTTGGTTTAAGGTTTATTTAATTCCATATTTGGAAGCGCTATACCCCAACCTCTCATTAGGTTGAATTGAGGCGATGTTGTACCATTTGTTATCACTGATGCTCTGGGATTTGAATAAAAAAAAGCTTCCCCAAACCCAAATATTTTTATGTTTTCCTCCTGATTCAACTGTATAAGATGTAACAAACGTCTAATATTGTCAGTGGATGACCTTTCCTTTATGAATGCTATATGTAATAAGAGTGGTAGAATAGTTTCCAACCTCATAGCCAACATCTTTGTTAGAATTTTACAGTCCACATTAATTAAACACACAGGTTTATAATTTCTAGGATCAGTGGAGTCCTCACTTCTTTTTTTTTTTTTTACCAATTAAGGACATCAGGGCTTCGTTGTATGTGATTGAAGAATAATGGCGCGTTTCCATCGGTACAGGTCGGGTCTGTTAACCATGATTTGGTGAGTGTTTCCTTTCCACCCCCAACAGTAGCCTTACTTGATAGGCGTGGTGTATTCCAGAAAGTAGTGATAACGTCACTTGATAGGCGTGGTATATGACGGAAAGTAGATTGACGTCATTCGATCGCGCAAAAACTGAAAGCTGACCGCAAACAACAATGGAGGACATACAGACGATCCTGTTCTTGCTTCTCGATATGTGGCTTTTTGTCACAAGGAGACGACAATCTTTGTTTGAGCAAAGGCTACATGCTGCAAGTGTGTTACGTGTGTTGTCTTTCCCCTTGCGTCACGCGCAAATGACGACACTCTTTCAACCAATCAACGTTCTGCAGTGAGTCTCCATCCTTTAGTACCAAACAACTGTGCCAGGTTCCCCAACGGAAGGGTACCCAAAAAGTGGTACGATACGGTTCGGATTTTTGATACCATTCTCAACTTTTGGCAGTGGAGACACAAATAAAAGGGTACCGACCCGTACCGTACCGCTCGGTGGAAATGCGCCAATATTCGCCCGGGGAGCAGACAGGGGTTAGATGTCTTGCGCAGGGACACTTCCACTCGGGACATGGATCAGCCCGTGTAGCTTGGTAGCTCTCCCAGGGAAAATGATCCTTTGTACACCTCTGTCAGGATGGTATCCATTTTACCTAAAGATCTTACTTAAAGAACTATTCTGAGGGGAATCCATCTAACGCAGGCGTTTTCCCAGGCTTCATTAAGGAAACGGCCCTTTTGGCAATCTGTTAGGTACAGAATGGGAAAGTGGAAATTGTTGAAAAGTGGTAATACATATAGTTGAGGCTGAATAAAAAGAAGGTTAACAACACATACACCAAGGCTACACAAATCTGGGTTCTCACAAAGCTCTGGGAAAATAGGTCAAACGAATGAACTGTGTTCATGTAAGTTAACCTACGACGTCCCTCATAGTCCTCGATTTCCTGTTTCAAAATGAGACTTTCCAGGGGATGAAATATCTGAGAAGAAATATGTGATTGCCCTACGGGATTTATCCAAAACTCCCCATGGAAACCTCCTACACATCTGGATCTAGTTTGATTAAAAAATCACATCGGAACACTAAATATTTACCGAGCAAAGTAAGTGGTTTGTTTTCTCTCTGCAATGATAATGATATGAAAGAGTTGATGTTTAACTGCTCTTGTAAATTCACTACGTTTTAGATCCCAAATGTAAAACAGAAATATGAATAGAATGAATAATGAATTACTATCATATCATGAATTTTTCAAACCCTGTTTTCCAAGAACCACAATAGTATTGTCGATATCTCTGAACCTGGATGAATGAAACCAAACCCGGTTATTGTAATTTTGGTAAGATCGCGGCCCGTGTGGTGAACGCTTCAACGCGCTTACTGTGAAGTTGATTGTTGGGAAGGTCCCACCTGCCACCAGCTGATCCCAATCAGCAATCAATTAGCAGCTGTCAGGATCCTTTTTAAGGAGCACTCAGAGGACTCAGGTGTGTAGCAGTGAATCTAGTATCACAATGGCTGTGTGCTGCAGGTTGTCTTTGAGGTAAGCAGCAAAACTGTTCTTAAGTGTTTTGAGTTGTCTTATGTCAGTTGTCTGAACTTGATTGTGTTGCAGGATGTTGTGGGGTTCGTGCCTGCTGCTCTGCAGTGTGACTTGTCTCCCTGCACCAAGAGGTAACGTTGGCCATCTAGAGACTGCACAGTGCTGAACTTAAATTCTACAACTGACTAGATCCTAATCCTTTTTAGCAGCTTATGACAGTCCTGCACCCGGTTCTGGCCTTGACAACAGTTGGTACGCTAACGCAGGTGTGGGCTCCGCTGGGCCTGCGTTCTACTCCGGGTCCTCTGACAGCGGCTATGCAACGTTTCCTGCCGCTGGTGAGGAGGAAGCGTCCAAGCCTGTGTTCAGTGACGTGTCGGACCTGGAGCCCGTGTACTCGTTCAAGTCCCGCTCGCGCTACAACAATGGAAGACGCCAGTTCACCCAAACTCTCTACATTCCTGGAGAGGTCCTGTTTCCACCCATGGTGCTTCCTGCTAACAGCCCTGGACAACCTGTCAAAGACAGCCAATGAGCGACGGCCAATCTCAAAGTAATTGCATGTGTTGGTTTTTTCGCTAGTGGATTTGAATTGAGACTTCTGACACTGTTCCTTCTGTCTCTCCCAGATATTCATGTTTAGCCAAACTAAAAATCTTGAATGAAATAAACTTGTGTTATCTGATCTGCAGTTTGGTCTTCATTTCATGTGTAGGTGTGTGTGCCACTCTCGTTTAATGTTGTCTAAAGCCATTTGAGAGTCACTTTTTTCCCTTTTGCAAAGTGAATCATTGACCTTTAGTGGTAAATCAAACTTCTCTAGTGAGGCAACTCTTTAAACTACTGAATGGGTAAATATAACCTTCACTTCAGACGGACTACCCGCCAAGACAAATTCCTTGTATGTTTGACATATTTTGGCAATAAATGTTTCCTGACAAGTTTTTACTTGTATTCGCTCTATACTTGGCAAGCATTTGTTTTTTGGACCCACCACTCAAGATGCATTTCAATGGTTCGCTGGGGCCCTAAAAGGGGCCACAGATGAGATTTCTTTGAGGGATTTTGTGACCGGCACAGAAGCTGAATTGCTTCAATAGAACTTGAATGCTATTCAAAGTTAACTGGCATTCTTTCACTATTTCTGTAGGCACAAAGTAAACCATTCTGGACTTTCACTAGAAACTATTCATTGAATGCACTGAATAGTGCTTTGCTATTAACTAAATGTACTTTATAGTGGATTTGCTGTCATGTTTTCTAGAAAGTGACACTTCGATACCTTGGTTTGATTTAGACTACAAGTGAGTCATCACTCAACTGGATAGAAAACTTGTAGTGTCAAAATATACCTTTCATCGTATCTACGCCTGTTTGCTTGAAATGTAAATCGAGGCTCGTCCGGATGAGAATGCCACACAATTGGTGGTATTCTATACTTGGTTGGTTGGTATACTGCTGGTACTTTTTACTCCCTGATCTGAATGTCATCCAGGCTCTTTTCTCCCTAGATTGTCAAACCTAGATACCTGCTGTGAAATAACCTCAATGACAAATGAAATGTTTAAATGTTCTGTGCGGTAAAGTTTCTCATGTTTCATCTTTAATCCTTAATGTTTCTAGACTGAAAACTCCCGTGCTTTGTTCTACTTCTTTTTGACTCTTTCCACTAATGTCACATGCCATGTTGGTAATTCCCTTGGGCAAAGTGGTCTACAGAAATGTGGATTTTGGTAAAGTGTCCTCAAACACTTGACAAGATATTGATTGATTGATGCATGTTTGTATCACCTCTCTGGTGGGATTTTTATATCCTCAGAACTTTATTTTTAAAAATAAAAGCGCGGAGCCCCACACAGCCGCATAGCGTACACAAATAAAGCTCCACAAACGCGCACGGAGGTGCAGATATTCGTCGTGTGACGCGGGTTTGTCGCTCCGTGGCTCCTTTGTGGGACCCCGCGGGACAAGTGGGCGGAGACACGCCTCACACACCTCTCGTGGGACATCCATCCATCCCTCCATCCATCCCTCCACCCCTCCATCCACCCGCCCGGACGAACGCGCTCCATCTCTGCGGCTCCCACGGTCACAGCATGCGGAAGAAGAGCCAGGCGGGTCTTGAGGAGCTTCTGTGGCTGCAGTAGATCTTTGTTTGGGGAGGCGGGCGGGGGATCTGACGGGGACCCGCTCGGTAACGGAGGACTCGACCTACAGAGGGATCGCGCGCACGGACAGGATGAGCGGCGCGCGCCTCGCCCTGCACGGTAAATATCTGCCCCCGCTTTAAAAGGAGTCTTCCATTAGCAGGATTACTGCTGGACAATGTCTGCATTGGATATTTAAACATGACGATTGTAGGAAAAATACAAAAGAACATTGCCTTCGTGTAATCAACTGGTGACGTTTATTATTTTACACTATTCAATATTTTAGAAATGTCTCTAAAGGTCGTTTTTCTTCAAATTTCAAAGTATTTCTTTACTAAAAGTGAAGAAAGTTTATTATTTATATGGCTGCATGTTCAGACTTATAGTGAAGAAACATCCAAATTCCCTCTAGTTCAGGTTTGTATTCTAGAAATAAATGCAATTGAGCACATCATCAATAATCAAAGGCCTCTTTTGCATATTAAATCATACTCTGTAAGAAAATATGTAATAAAAGAGGTTTCTTAATCTTCTAAATGTAAGTAATCAGCTGGGGAAACTTCATGATGGCTTCTATCATTTGGATATTTTGGCCTGTCCACCTGTGTGTTAAACCATGGATCCTCCTCCTTTCGGCTGTCCGCCCTGCAGGGCTGCTGCTCTGCGTGGTCCTCGGCGTGCAGCACCAGCTGCTGCCCGGCTCCTGCAACTTTGAGCTGGGCACCTGTGGCTACACATCAGACCCCGAGTACGGCAGCTGGAGCATGAATGAAGAAGGTACGGTGTCATCACGAGCCTTGCTCATTGACGGAAATAAACGCGGCCGGAATACTCAAACAAACAGACTTTAGTGCAGGAAACCCAGGTCCCATTTCAATCCAACCCAATGTTTACTTATTTTACCTTTGTTTTGTTACTCAGCCTCCCAATAAAGCCAGTTACTTAACAAGCTTACCTATTTTATCTTACACATGTACTTATGTCAATGAGTTTTGTTGCTTAAGTCAAATTAAAAACAGAATAGATCTACTTTGAAAGTATATATTTTATTGACTTTTATCATCACAGAGACTTTATGCATGTAGCCAGGGAGCATGGAACATTTTATGTGAACATTTATGTGAAGTTTATTTTGAAAACACACTAAGCCTTTAACAACCACCGATGTGCCGTCACTTGATTGTGCAGACATTCTCTCATCATAGCCAACAATATTTAGACTTTGGCACACGTGGTACTAGTTTGGTATTTTTCATAATTCATCAGACTTTGTGCCCACAGATCAAATATAGTATGATGAATATAGCCTTTAGTCAAGCGCAGAGAGCAGCAGAGGAAAGCAGATGCGTTGGCTTCCCTCCATGTTTACCTGCTGCCTTCAGTGCGAAGCGTGAACAGAAACATGTCGCGCTGCGCTGCGTTCACTTTCTGCTTTAAGGTACTTTTCTCATTCAGTAACTATTCCCGGTCAGTGGACGCGTTGTGCACCTTACTTGGTAAAACTTTTAGTTTGAAAAGTGCAAGGAAGTGTAACGTTTCATTGACATTGTCTTAACACAGAGCCAAAAGCCAGTGAAGCAAAGCAGATAGTCATCAAACAGTAGATCCCACCATCTCTTTTTTTTACAGTACCAGCTTTCTCTGCAAACCAAAACCTCTAGACCCTTTTTTCTCCTCTCTAATAAATCTATTGCAGTTCTATTTAATACTACAAGCGCAGCCTTGGGTACGGCCCTGTCATTAGCTACTTGCAGTGCGGCGGTGCTGAGGCTCTTTTATGGGTCAAACACACTGGAATGCCAAAACGGGAATAGTGCCGGGTGGCTGTGGATGCCGGGCGGGAACCAGGGCTCTGCCCTAGTTTCAACCTTTTATACGCTGCGACACACACATGGTTGAACAATGAAATGTTAATGAAGTCATTCATGTGTCCTATACTAAAATCTAAAACCCTTAAAATGCAGTAAAACTAGGTATTTATTTCTGAAATATTATATCAGTCCTAGTCCTAGTCCTTGTCATCAGCTTCTTAGATTTCATTATACGAGCGCTTAAAGAACTGTTAAAGTTGACCTGACATTGTGACATATATCGGTATTCGGTGGAGTCGACCCGCTGTAAGACGAGCTGATTCAGGACGGTCTCCTGTCCCCCCCCCGTCCTCCGTGCCAAGCAAACGCTTCCCCCCCCCCACCTTGTCTTGTTTTCCACTGACTGCTTTCGCCGTGTGTGTCCCGGCACAGAGCCTCCTCTGTTTATCACAGTCCGTCAGCACAGTTTATGTTCCCGCTGTGAAGATAAGTGGCGGCGCTGTAAACCTTCTCTCCTCACTCCGAAGCACGTTAGCTCTCGTACGGCATTCGTGTTCCCCCGGGACACCAGACCAAAAGAGCTTTGCCCCAAACACCAAACCAGCAACCGGCCTGAAGCGGGAGGAGCTCCCAGACGGTGGCTATTACAGAAAAGAAATAAACTTCAGACTACACCCAATGTGGCAATGAATAGGTTCACAAAGAGGAGATGGGACCACGGCGGTGTTTTACTGTTTGGTTGCCGTGGCAATCCTTCGGCGCAGTGGAAAAAAGAACCCGGGGTTGAGCTCTGTGGCTGAAACCGGGAGGGATGCAATGGGTGATTATGTCCTCTAAACAGAGACATGAGGGACAGAGACGTGGGGATAAACAGAGCGAAGGGGACGGATGGAGTCAGAGGGAGAGCTGTCAGGGGCTCAGACCTCCACCGGGCCTCCTCCTTCTGACTGTTTACTGCTGGACAGTTTCTGACTCCTCTGCCTTCGGCCCCCCTCCATCCCTTTCCCCTTCCTCTCCGCTCCCTCCTCCCCCCTCCCCGTCCTCCGTTACCACCTCCCCCTCCCTCAATCCTGCTCTTCTCTGAACATGTGTTCCGGACAGTTGATTAGTCAATGAGTGGCATCATAATCACCAGCCCCACTATGGAAACCCATTTGGTTTGCCTGACCCAGTTAACATTAGTTCTCTACGCAGTAGTTGCCATGTATATTCATTTTAAAGGTAGGCGGTATGTCTTACTTCTCCACAGTCAGTTCCATGCCAACAGCAGAAGGTGGGAAAAGTCATGTGCTGCCGTGTGAAAGTTTGTGGAAATTTACCGGACACTTTGCCTCATTGCGACTCCAAACTAATCAAAGTCACAAGAACACAAACAGACTCACTGGTTGATGCTTCAGTTCCCAGTCAGAGAGGCAAGCAGGAGAAATATTCTAAATATAGAGCTCTGGGTTTTCCACAGCGGTACATCGCTCTGCTAACATGTCATCCGGTGTTGTTCTCCAAACTGGAGGTAGTACTCTGAATATGGATAAGTACCTCGTGCAACCCAACTTCAAAGCCCCCAAACTATCCCTTTAATGAGTACTGTGACGGATTGCATAACTCAACTGCGACTTTTAAATGGCCAGTAAAACAAAACACAGCTTGGCCAAAGGTGATTTGCATCTAATTGACTTCAAGTGAAACAAATATTACGTCTCATCAGTGTACATCGGTCCTGGTTGTCTACTCTGTCCTGCTCTAAGACTCTGCTTGAACCTCATTTGACCAAATAAGGGATCTAAAAAACAACTGCCGCTCCCCCTGCGTCCCCTCCCCAACAGAAGGGATGGCACTTAAACCAGCTCCATCCCATAAACTACCTTTGTGTTCATGTAGAATGGGTGATGGGTAAAACAGACTGCTGGGAAGGTTCATGGTGCTGTGCTGTCTGTCTGACCTCTGACACTATGTTAGAGTATACATATAGAACTACTTTCTGCTAGATAATCAAAGTGTCTGCGTCTGATAATGCTTTTAAGTTAAGGAATATTGTTCATACAAGTTTACAGCGCTACTCGAACAACTCGTCGGACAACACATGACTTATCGTGAGGGTAATAAATAAGTGATGAAATAAACAAAATAGAAAAATCCTACTAAAAGGAGGTTGCAGTAGAAGTCTTTTTTATATGTTGTTACTGTTACTATTGTAAAATATTACATGGCCATAAAAAATGCTGAAGATCCATAGACTTAAACAAAATATGAATAAAAATATGGTCACCCCTTTGCATTACCCACCAGAAGATCAAAACAACAACATATAACTGCAACAACAGCAGACGTCCCTCCATGAATGAAATTGTGAATTTGTCGTATTTTGCTGCTGTTGTCACAGGGCGTTTGATAACGGTGGACTCGGCCTCCTTAAACGACCAGGAGCAGGCGGTTCTAGCGAGTCCACCTCTGGACCATGAGGACTGGCGCTGCGTGCGGCTGGTGTACCAGATCACTGGAGGAGGTTCCCTGCAGCTCCACCTCCGACCCGATGGAGATAATTTTGACTATCCACTGTGGACAGCCGGCCGAGCCTCTGACAGCTGGCTCATTGCCAGTGTGGACCTAGCAAACACCACGACCCCCTACCAGGTAGGAATAGCTGTAAGGACCAAGGGAACAGGGATCCGTGTGACATTGAGTTTGCTGCTCTATTGCATATCAGGATTTTAAATAAATAACCAATCTAGTTTTGATCAGTGCACCTCTTGCCATGGCAGTATTTCTACCAAGAAAGTGGTGGTGGTCCTCCAACTGCTATATATTCAGATTAATGTCATGTGTTCTGGCCGTAGTGAAACAATGTATTCATGGTTATGGTTTTTTATTAGTTAATAGAGAATTTACATGGCATCTGCAACTGTTTATTTCATCAAAGTAAAGAAAGGAAACCAAGACAAAGATGACTTCACCTGATGTTGGCGGTAAATATAGCAGATGACACTATTGTAAATTGTGGCATTTTTTCAGGAAGGTGGTTGGTTTGTCTTGTGTGTTGTATAAATAAAGTGTTGCCAGCCAATCTAAATTTAAAGAAGGCTGATCCGCCTTAAGTACAGTGTGTGTTTGAGGCCGAGGCACCAAAGTGCTGTAAGAGAAGCAATGATGTCAACCAGGCCTCTTTCTAAATTTAACCCGCTTCCTCATTGTCAATGCGAACTCTTGCCTCCTGCATCCAATCAACTATCAGAAAATACAGAAAATCTGAGAAATAACAAATGTTTATAACTCTGTAGTGGAGGTAGCGAGGTTGATCCACATGCCAAGTGAGTTATGAGGGGAAAACAGAACTACATCATCTTGGTACTTGAGGTAATGGCAAACATTCAAAGGCTGACGGTTGTCTTGAATTACTTAAGTACGGCTGCAGAACAGCGTTTAGAACTCTAGGATTAGGAGCCTACTTTACTGGCCAGTGTGCTCCGAGGCGCTGACTGCTAGTGTTGTCTGTCTTTGGCAGGTATGGACTCCATAAGTTAGATAAGAAAGTTAGTAAGATCTGCCTTTCTGACTTAGTGTGGCTTTACGTTGTTATGACATGTTCCGTGATGAGATATTCTGGAATGAGATTTGATGCATCAAGAATATTCAGGCCGTGCCATAGCCCTTATATAGGAAAGGTAATACATCAAGATGGGAGTAGAGCCATTTTCTCATAGACTTCTGTACAATCAAACGTAGTTTTGCAACCAGAGGCCCCTTATGTTGCCTTATCTCAAAATGCTACGCTCCTATCACCTGCTGGCAGTGCAGTGTTGGTCGAGGTGTGTGTGTGTGTGCACTGTGGCTCCCACTAAACCTTCACAATGCCCACTTTCAAATACCTGACCTGAGGTGCTTAAACTGGTGGGAAGGTTCTGTAATGTCGAATGTGACTCATTGCATTTACTCAAGTATTCTACTGAAGTACAAAATCATTTCCGATGTAGTTCAGAGCAACTGTGAGATCAATGTTGTATGCTTTACTGTATGTAAATACAACATTATGATGAATAAAGTGGTTCAGCACCACCTACACAAATGAATGTATTTATTTCTATACATATAGTAGCAACTACTATAACTCACATGTGCATTGTACAAAGTGATATAACAATGGTGATCGTGATGTGAAACGTGCTTTTTATGTGATTTGATTAGATCTAACTTCTATTTTTCACATCCACAGATTTTGCTGGGGGGTCGACCTGAACGCGGTTCGGGGAACAGCGTGGCCATCTTTGAAATTCACATTGTTCCTGGTTACTGCATGGGTCAGTGTGTTATAACGGCTGGTGTGTGTTTATTCATACAAAACATGTGATACTGAGTACGGAATGTTTTGGCTGTTGCTGTTACCAGAGTGCGATTTTGAGGAGCATCACTTGTGCGGCTACAGTAACAGCTGGAACCCAAACGTCAACTGGTACGTTGGAGGGAGAGTGGCCAGAGAGCCTGAGTCTAACCTGCTTGTAAACCACGCCAACAATAACCAGAGAGGTATTTACGCACTCACAAACACACACATCCCTGTATTTCCGTCTTTGTGAGGACCCTCACTGATATTAGGCATTCCTAAGCCCCTTACCCAAATGTTAACCATCACGCCTAAAAGCCAAAGCCCAACCCTAACCCTGAACATAACCCTCCCCCTTTACCCTAACCTTCACCAACACAACTGGACCCAACCTTTTCACCGGCCTAAAACCAATTAATTATCCAAGAATAACCTCATTCTCAAGGTCTGTTTAGAAAGTTTAGATTATAAGAAACTTTTGAATCCAATTCTGCATAACTTCTGCACTGTTGTTTTCTATGACCGGTACGTCCAGAACTCTCCAAACACACATTTCCACCAAAACCTGCCTAAACATACTGCTTTCATTTGTCACCAGTGTGGTTGGCTGCAGCTACTGGTTGTTATTGTGCGCTTTGTTGGACAGTGCTCTGACAACTGCAGCTGACAGACGGTGTTCATTCTGCTCAGGATATGAAACACGCAATGCTTCGGGCAAACATATATACGCAAATACTCAAAAAGTCCTTGGAATGCCGCATATAAACCCGTACATATTAACTCATCCGATCCATGTTCATCTGTAGTTTCCTCTTCCTTTGTACTGCATTACTCTGTACCTGAGAATCAGGCTCATGAGGTTCACGAGCAGGTTTTCGCAATTGGATTTGGTGTATCGTGCATAACATAAACATAATACAATATTAAAACTATATGTATATAAGGAATGCATGCAAATGTATGAAAACTAGATGTCGATAACAAGAAAAAGGCCATAAGAATATGAAATGTACCATATAAGATAGGTATACACAAGAGCTATGCCGAATGTGGTAGTTTCTTAGCAGAAATTTGTAAAATTGTCCCCAGAAATGGCCAAAGGTCTCAGTCCAAAGTATAAAAAAACACTGTACAGAGATATATTCTCAAGGATAGACTGAGGTGAAGAAATGAATGTAACAGGTCCATATGAGGGGGTAAGAGTCCGTATCAGCGGGCCCTGATGGGGCCAGTTGCAGTTTTAGTAACGTTAAACTCCAATTCACGATCAAATCTCCGGTATGTGAACAACCAAATACTCAGTATATAATATAATAACCGGTTAGGGTTGGGCTGCATACAAAGGCTCTGCAGTTAACATGGACTGATGATCCGCCAGACAGAATCTGTAATCAGGAAGTTGTGTTGGCCAAAGGCTCTGCTCTATTGTTTGGTTTGGATGCAGACCTGAAGGATCCATTCCAGATTCATGTCTTTAAAAACAGCAACATAGTTAATGCTCACTGCACTCCTTCAAGACAACATCTGTTTCACCTCCAAACACAGAACGTGGGTCACTAAAGATGAGTCAGAGTAACAATTCATTAATCAAAATGTTATTGCTACTTGTAAAACCACATGCATGAATCTGACTCTATAAGCACACAACGTTCTGCTCATCTGTATCTTCAACTGTTCCAGGCTACTACATGTATGTGGACTCTGTGTACGCCAAGCACTTCCAGGAAGTAGCCAAGCTGACTTCGCCCATGACCACGGTGCCCATAGCCGGCTGCCTGTCCTTCTACTACAACAGAGATCAAGAGAGAGGAAACATCTTTTCAGTTTTCACCAGAGACCAACTGGGCCACTACGAGGAGATCTGGAGGCCAGGGGTGTATGCTACATCCGGCTGGACTCAAGTCAGCGTCGACATCAAGGCCCCACACCCGCTGGAGGTCAGTCCTGCAGTTAGCATCCACCTACTTATATTAAAAAATAGTGGGGTCTGCTGGGGAAAATGGCTAAAGTGGACGATGAAGATTCCACTTTGATAGATCGTCTGCGTGTTAATGTGGCTGTGGCGTAGGCGACGCCGATTACAACATTTTCCGCTCTCTCTGTCCGCTGTGCTAGCGCGCACAGCGGGACGGAACTCCCTCGGTGCATTAATGTACTCGGGCGGGGGTGCCTGTATCCTACAACGGAAGGAGAAACACTGGATTTCATATATGAAGACCATGTCTGGGCTACAATTGGCAAAAGGCTGTGTGTTCGGCCAAATCATTCAGAAACGTCCTGTTGAACCCTAAATTGTGGAACTTGTTTGGGAGCATCTTCTTGTTCAGGGTCAAAGTATTATAGTTTGTAGAGTGTATCTGACAAACAGTGACCGGCAGTGAGGTCGTTGTACAGAGACTTTTATTTCCTTCACGTCTTTCCTTCGTATCTGAACAGGAGAATACACAAATTCAGCGATATTGACTATAGAAATCTATGTAATGATTGAAATCATACAATAATTGATGACACAGGGGAGGCCTGCCATGCAAGGCTCAACCCACAGGGGAGTGAGGATGGTGGAGGAGCAGAGCTGTTTCAGGCAGGCTGAAAATATGTCACCTTTAAGGTAAATACCATTTTAGTAGAGATCTGTTCTTTTTGCAGCTTTTCAGATCAGTTATGAAGACATTGTAGTTAATAGCTGAGATCGTAACATGGTGACAACAATGAAACCAGTGTATGTGAAGAACTCCAGATGGAAGGAAACAGGAGGAGAGCAGAAGAGCCCACACTCACTGACCAAAACGCCATCTGGGAAACCAATGGCCATCCTCTGACAATGCAATTTTTGTGAAACAATGCAGCTGTTCTTCAACTCCAACTCCGGTCTTTGCGTGTCAAAATGCTTATCGGGATGTGAAAAAAATAGCGGATCACAGGAACAGAAGTCTAAATATCTGGTGGCTACACCAGAACTCCAGAAATATACCCACAGTCTCAGAAGCTCATCGTGAGACCGTTTTTTAATGGGTTCCAAAATTGGCACTCCTGCTGCTCGGGAGGAGCTTGGTCGAATCTAAAAGTGACCCTGAGAATACACCAGGTCAGCTTGGGCTTGCTTACCACACACATTTTTAACAGAAACGTAATCAAAAGCAGATAGCGGGTTTTAAAAGTCGTGGATGGCGACGGAGGATAAGAAGGGCCTGACAAAAGATGCCTTTAGGCTGCATCATGGAAAATGAAGGATCCAGTGTTGTTTGAACTGCATACACCCACAGTACCTCAGCTCCTGCTGCACAGATTTTGACCCATATTGCAGTCAGCAGAGATCAGTGTTCTGACCCTTGGCAGGCTCCACATTGATGATCCTTGTAGCTTGCAAAGAAAGGCTCTTGCACAGCCTGCGTGCATTGGCCTTCTGACTGCGGAGGAGTTCGTCTGACAGCTGCAGCTGGAAAACTCGACTGTGCAACTTTCGCCCGGCCCGGCACATGTTGGTGTAGAATCAGAGTCCACGCATGCATCAGCACACCAGGAGTTATGTCTTGTCTGCAACTTCTCTCCTGCAAGCACGACAACTTTTTGACCGATAACTAAACACAATTCAGTACTGTTGTTTGAAACCTGAGAAGGGCTTTATGTTGCAAATGGAAAAACACATCAGTTTGCTGCAGGGTTCCATGTGTCCACCATGAAAAATTGTTTCATCTTCCTTGAGGCCGTTTGATGGTCCTTCTCGATAGCCTCACCGAACTCTTCCAGCCCGGCCCACCTGTCGTTGTCTGCTGCCCCAGGATATCCCTGTAGCTTAGCCCAAAACGCATTCGGTGTCATCGAGACGGCCTCATTTGGTTTCTTCTTTGAGACCAGGTCGCGCTCACTCACAAGCTCCAGTTCTTTCCACAAGTTGCGCATCGGTGGAACCAGTCAGCGATGCAGGGGGTAGGACCTAAAGGGGGTAGGTCCTAGCCTTTGCCTACTGGAGCAGAGAATTCTTTTTTTGTGTGGGGGCGATTTTACATTTTTATGACAGTAGTTCTTTAAATGTGGTTTTCGGCTTTTCTATTTAGGGGTCACCACAGCATTTCCATGTAGTTGGTTGGTTTTCATCTCAAACTGTAAAAACATTTCCAAACATCAAGAAAGGAAGACAAATGCCAAACTCCACTGTCTCGTTCTGGTGTCCTGTACAGCCGAGTGGATGAAACCACTCTGTGGCTTGTCAAATGGCTATTCTCTACGACTCCCCTGTTTCCTCTCCTTGTGCTTTCAGCCAGACTGCTGCGGCTGTGGAAAGAAGCTTGCATAACACCAACTGGGTCATTCAAGCCAAGAGTCATACAGAGCTTTTCCATCAGGCAACACATTTGGCCGACTATGTTTCTGAATAAACCCGACACTGATGTCACTGTACGGCTTCTGCAGCTGTCGCCAGTATTTCCATCAGGAAATAATTAGTAGTTAACATTTATTATGCTGGATGATGCGTTCATTAGTTAAACTGAATTTATTTGGCGCTTGAACTCAACGCGGGGAGATTGCGCTGTGTTTGCCCTGAGCGGCAACCATGTGATTCCAGGTGGTGGTGGTGGTGGTGGGTGCTGGAGGTTCTGCTGGAGTCGAGATGGGGTGCTGAATCTGAGAAGGCGGATGGTGCAGCGGAGGCGAAGGGTCCCATGAGACGCTGAACAGCTGATGCCAGCTGAGAGGGTTGACGCTTATTGGCTGAGAGCGCCCATCCGATAAACAGCTGATAAGCAGCTGATGACAGTGACAGCCGGTCTGTACTGGCTGCTGGACGGTCTCCTATAGCTTCATTCGTCAGGCCTCAGCAACGCGTCCATGTTATGATTCACAAAGCATTTCCTCAGGACTAATGAGTCTGAGACGGTTAGATGCATTAAAGTCGTGCATTGTTCGTAGCCCATCGTTGTGATTGCTGTTTATTTCCATGTTTGTTACCAGGTGGTGTTCGAGGTGGCCTTCAACAGTGCCAGAGGTGGATACGTTGCAATTGATGACATCTCCTTCTCACCGGAATTTTGCCACACTGACACAGGTGATTTCAGCAGAGTAAAGGTTGATCAAAAGACCGCTGCATGAGAAAAGGAGATGAAAAACGAAGGCAGAGGAGGGAGGCAAAGGAAAGGGTGAAAAATGAACAAAAAAAGAAAACTAAAGACAGGGTGAACAAAAGGCGGTAAAGGGGTAGGAAGTGTTACAAGGATGATGCGCCGAATACGATTTCAAAGCGCTGAAAACGCAAAAAGTCACATGACATTTGACTTCACTGTCAGCACTATAGAAACTTGCTCTAGAATGTTTCCTCAGGTCTGAAAACATAAAATATTAAGGAGAGCTGGGATTTTTAGATCGGTGGGCCTCCAGGACAACGTTTGTTTGTGTGACATTAAGGGCTTTCGTTCCAATTGGACATTTTCAGGAATAATTTGTGATAACACAACTCATTTTGCAGGGTCTCCAAATTTAGATTCCCTAAGTCATGGTTACTCGCTCCAAACCTTTTTGCAACATTTCAAAAAGTTTGTTCAAATTTTGCATAGATTATTGAATAGAAACACATTGTAATAAAAATATACACACCACACATTTGTTCTTTCCGACATTTGAGGAAATGTTTTCTGCAATCTGTCCATTCAGTGTAGTTAAACATAATCATATTAGCGCACAAAACGTCAACTACACAAGGTTCAATGCACACAATTGGATACATTTAACTAGACTGGGAAAAAGGGTGATGGCCGTCCTTCACACTAACGCTGTTCATTAAATCCCAATCAACGGCTAAATCCTTTTTCAAACCAGCAGTGACCAGAGACACTACCGTGCATGTCCATGTCCATGTTTATATTCATATTTTTTTCCATGGTGTTATACAATCACATGCATACTTTTCACGTCCCTGACCTCTGTTATTAAAGATGTTGCTTTTTGTGCCCCAGAACCAACCTTTGACCCCTCCATAGCCAACTGTGACTTCGAGAATGGGCTGTGTCTGTACCATCAGGAGAGGACAGAGAGTAAGGTGTGGAGCATAGCGTCAGTAAAGCCTAATGCCTACAGGATAGGAGACCATACCACAGGAACAGGTGAGTCACCTAATACATGATTATCGCTGCCTGGTTTGTCACAGCGAGAATACTTTTGGTTTGTACATGAACACTCTCATTGTCCAGATTAATGACTTAAAATGGACCATAAAGTGCTAAATTGTGGAGTTAAACCAAGCGTTTCAAATCTAATATCGGCCTACATACTTTTCAATATGGTTTTGAAACAATTGTGCAATTTTGGCTTGAAACTTGGAACTGAGACCGTGTACTCATGACCTCCTGATCTTCCTCCGATCTCTCTTAGGACGTTTCCTCGTGGCAAACACACGTTTTACTTTGCAGCCCGGCTATGTGGGTCGGCTTCATGGTCCATTGTTACCAGGCAACCACAAATACTGCCTGAGGTTCTACTACCTGCTGCATGGCTTTAGGAAAGTAGACAATGCTCTGTTTCTCTACATTTATGACGAGAACAATGTGGCCCAGGAGAAGGTGTGGAGCCTGACTGACACTTCAAAGGCTGTGTGGACTGAGGTGGAGATCACCTACATGAAGCCAATGTTCACCAAGGTGGGTGATGTATGTGGAAGAAGTGGAAGACTTAATGGATGAACGGTTGGATGGATGAAGATGACGATGGAAGGATGGACAAATAGATGAATGTGGATGGATGCATTGTTGAAAATATGGATGATGGATTGATGGATGTAGATGGAGTGGATGGATGAATTTGAATGGATGAATGGATTGACGGACGGATGGATAAATATGGATAAATCAACGATGGATTGATGGACAAAACGATAGATTTTTGATAGATGTTACATTTGCATGGAGGGATGAACAGATAGAGGGTTGAAACATGGATTGATGGATCCATCGATGGAATGGATGGATGATTTTGGAAGGGTTGATGGATGGACAACAGTAATACTTATAGCCGTTTTTTTCTGTTTCCCAGGTCGTGTTTGTCAGCATATGTAAGAACTTCTGGGAATGTGGCCTTGCTGCCATCGATGACATCACAGTCAGCCTGGGGGATTGTCGAATGACAGCAGGTGAAAGGCCTACAAAGACGTACACTGACAACTGTTGTTAATGTCATAACAACGGGACATCAACCAGAAGCCTCTTTGAAGCCATTTCGTCAATAACTCCAGCCCGGGTCCCACTGACTTTCTTTTTGTCCGTCTCGCTCCTCAGGCTCCCTCCCGGGCCAGTGTGACTTTGAAGGTGGAATCTGCGGCTACACCCAGGACAAGAGAGAAGACAAAGCCGACTGGCTGAGAATTCGAGGACACACCCCTACCTCTTTTACAGGACCCCGAGGAGACCACACTACTGGGGTGGGTGAGTCATTTCCTCATGCGTTGCTCCATTCATTCATTTGAAAGATCACAACCCCCGCCGCCCCCGACTGGATGGAACCCGATGTGTGAAACTTAACTGAAAGCATCATCTTATTTTCCTATAATTCTTGTAAGATGTCTAAAGTTGGAGTAGTCGTGTTAGTTTTTCTTGCACGCTTCATTTACGCCGCGTAAATAACCGTGTCTTTCACCTTCCTCCCCCAGGCTACTTCATGTACATCGAGGCGTCCCTCATGCGTCCAGGTGACAAGGCCCGACTGCTGACCTCTGACCTGCGGGGCTCTTCGTCCCCTCAGTGCCTGGTCTTTTACCACCACATGTACGGCTCCGGCACCGGCATACTGAGCGTGCTCCTGCGCCGCGCCGACGGACAACGCGACACTTTGCTGTGGCGCCGCCGCGGCGAGCAGAGCGTCAGCTGGATGAGGGCAATGGTGGACTACCACTGCGACGTCCGACACCAGGTGCGTCAGCGGGGTATTAACGCATTTAAATCGTATTTCCAAAGCCACTCTGAAAAGTGTATAATATTAATATTAACACCAGCATTGATGTGTTACATAACAGCCGTCACATCATTTAGTGTGCTGGTCAAAAAAACACATTTAAGTGCAAACTTTAAATACATATGCAGGTTCAAATAAAACGGTCTTGCACACTGTTTTTTTGACTGGTGGACGTCCCCCCCTTAGCCTCACCTAGTTGTGTGTTTTCCCTGCAGATTGTATTTGAAGCCATCCGGGGCCCGACACTGCGGAGCGATATCGCCATCGATGACATCCATTTCAAAAGGGGACCCTGTGAAGGTTAGTGTAATACTTATTTGACTCTAAAGAGCCATGCAGACACATGGCGTAACAGCATAACATCCGTCGTGTCTCTCCCTCCTCTTCAGATCCCGGCGACGTCACTCCGTACTCGGGCTTCTCCGAGTTTTTCAATGAGATTGAGAAATGAGACCGGCGGGACGTTCCGCGCAGCTTTTTCTTTGTTCTTTGGAAGTGCAAGTTTGAAGGAGCCTTCGAGACAATTGACAGCGTTGTAGAGCGATGCTTTTGTTGCAGCCTGGACCTCCACCCCGCTGTACTTCTCTTTCATTCACGTCCCCAGTCCAGACAGTTTTTATGCTATTGTGTCATCGGCCCCAGTTCATGACAACGCATTGACAACGCATGACAACGCATGTTGTCTTGTGGCAGACAGCCACAAGACAACATAATGAACACATTAATGCCGAACACACCAGGCAGCGGCAACTGACACTTGTTTGGCCTCCAAAACGCAAGCAGGCAATACTTAATAATCCTTTCATTTTTGCTTCCAATGTTTGAATTTACACATGGATTGGTTTTCCGAGAGGTGGTGATGTCAGGAAATGTCCACACGCCCGTGCGGATCTTTCCCACGTTTCTCATCTCACAATAGAACCACGGTTGCATTGGTTATTTTTTTCACGAGATTCCACACATTGTATTATGTTAGTTCCACTGTGACAAAGGATACGAGTCCAGCATCAGTCTTAAGCCACAATCAGATATTGTCACGTTTGTTTTTGGTAAATGCAGTGTATCAGTGTCTTCTCAAGACGTGGATTTGGGGAGGTGCTGGAAACCTTCCCAGGGGATTGAACCAGTGCCCAGTCATTGGTATTGTAACGTTCCCGTGGACTCTCCAGCCAATCATGCTACTAATCTTTAATCTTCTGCTGTGCACCAGACTGAACGTGGAGGTGTGGGCAGTAATTCAGAGGTCTGGAACCTGACTACATACTGTGAGCTTCTCTACTGACAACTAGACTTTATTCTTGCTTTCTCCCAATCTATTAACCCTGACACCAAAGTGCATGAATCCGTCACTTGAACTCTTATGTTTGGCTCCAGTAAACGTTGATCTTACTTCACCCCTTAAAGAAATGTTTTGGTTTGTATCAAGTTATTTGGTCTCCATTGATGGTATAAAAGAAGTGGACGTACTTACTGTTTGTGCTGTGCCGATTTGATGCTGCCATCTTGTTTTTTTGGTCGTCGCTATCTTAGTTTTTTTAACCAGTAGTGACAGGACCAGAGTGTTAAAAACTTTCATGAACCGAAACCCCCCCCGATCCTCCCCCAACATGAAGGGTTAAAGCAGCACGTCAAAAACACGGTAATCCACCAGAAAGAGCAATGTCAGGGTAGCAACCTGTCAATCAAGAGGTAGCCCCGCCCTAAAGCATGCCTTGCTTTATGGTATTTATGACTCTAGATTTACCATAATTTACTCAACAAACATTATGCTGTAGACTTGAAACAACAGATTGAGACATAAACTCATGTTTAGTTTGTTTTAAGAGAAGTAGAGCCGTGTTTTACATCCCGACCTTTTGTTACCAGAGAAGTCGCCCCCCGATGGACGTTGAGGAGAATGCAAGCTTAAGCAATTAAAACATTGGCTTCCCTCTTTACAATTGGAGGTTGCCGCCAGGTCGCCGACATTTTGAGGAATTTTATATGTGTAGTCTGAGTTGAGCGCGCAGCGCTAGCAAGCAGAGCAGAGAGGAAATTATCAGCGCTCCACGCCGATGTTGTTAATAACTCTCAAATCTTTCCTCAGGGGAGAATCAAATATATTGAAAAGACAAAATATTCGGATGGTCAACCAATAACATAAGTTCAATATAGTAACCCATCATATCATATTGCTATGATAACTAACCGTTTATAAACATTTCTTGATCAAACCATGCCAGTTTCCTGTTTGTTTGCTTCTATCCATACGTGGATTATCTTACCTTATGGACCACGACAACATGTGACACATGATGAGCTCTTTACAGCAGTCAAACAAGATCATGTCTTGAAGCCTGTTTTTTCTGGTACTTGACATTTCCACATTCCATATGTAAATGAAAAGAAACTACATAGACAAAATCATATGGTTTGATATTAATAATATCAATAATGCATTTAATTTATACAGCACTTTTCCAAATGCTCATTTTACATAAAACATTTTCAAATATCCTAAAAGCTAGATAAATAAAAACAAGCAATTAGCGAAAACACACAGAATACACAGTCATACATTAAAAGGTGGATTACATTGAAGAGATGGATAAATAAAATTGTGTTAACATGTAGTGCTTTTCACTTATATTTTACATACATTACTCAAAAAGCTCTTTAAAAGAAGGGAAAAGTATCAGCAAATAATTCTGGAAATCTAACTGAGGCTGATGTGCCCTGATCCCGGTGACACCTTTTCATTACATTACATCGTGTCCCGACTGGTGAGTACAGGAAACGAGGTCAGCACCCACATGCAGACAATACAGGCAAAGAGGTCACGGTTTATTGTAAAAAGTATGACGATACCTGGAACCTCGTCAACGTTTCTCTTATTTTAAACTTCAATTCAAGCGAGCTGTGGGGTGTGCAGTGTCCCACCCTGCGGCGCCCATGGGCTCCATGGTCTCCATAGTCTCACCCGCCGAAGAACGACTCGCCCGCCTTTTATAAGTAGGGTGTAAACACGGAGGCGTGCTTCAAGGCCAACTTCCATTTCAGATTCCAGGAACTTTTATAACTTCTTGTAAACGTGGTTTCTTAGCAGCATCTTTCGGGAGCAGTGAGCCCGTGGGGAAAAATAAAAGTCCCAAGCCTCTTTGGTAGCATTTATTTCTCCTTTTGAACTTTAAGTGGTTCACGACTGTATAATGGCAAGTGTCTAAGTTCAAGCAGTTTATGTTTAACGAGTTTTAACCAGCTTTTAGCAGTTTGAATCAGCTGTGGCCCCTGGAGTAGAAACGGCGCGCCGCTGACCGCCGCTGACACACTGTGGGAATACTATGGATAACTTTTTATTTTTCTTCTTTACAATAAACATCCGTACCTGTGGCCGCACCAAACGATTGGGTCATACAGTTGAGTAATAGATGTAATCTCACGGTTTAACCCACTTCCTGGTATTCCTGCATTTTGGACGGTACTTAATATGGCGGAGCCGGCACGCGAGCGCACCAGCACAGTGGAAGTGGAATGGAGACGGTGTCGGAGGCCGGAAAGGAACCGGACCAAAAGTCAAAAGTCAAAACTAAAATCAAATCCAAATGGGGCATGCAAAAATAAAAAAAAAGATCATGCAGTGGTTCGAAACAGGTTTCTGTCTCAGATGAGAGATTTACAGTAAAACTGTGTGTGTTTGTGTGGACAGGAATTATTTCGTAACAAGCCATATCATGTTTTTATACAGTGTTTTCTATCAGCAGCTGTGAAGGCCTATACTTTAAATATGGAAGAGTAAGACAGAGACAAGAGCAGGAACAAACAGAGGTTTGTCTACTATTGTCTCTGTTGTACCAGAGACGCAGAGATTCGGTTGGGTAAGAGCCCCCTCTAATGGTTTAAATAGTTCACCTAGAGCAGAGGTCTTCAACAGGGGGTCCGCGACCCACAAGGGGTCCGCGAAGGTACTGCAGTGGGGGTCGCGAATTTTTTTAAACAATTTTTTTTCCCACAAATGTAAATGTCTTCAGAATCAGAATTGTATTTATGTTCTTTAAATACACATTAACATGAATCCAACATATTGAAGCGAACGGATAAATTGATGGAGAAGACGTCATCTGTCAGTCCGCAACACACACACTCAGCTTCCCTCAGCAGCTCTCAAGCTGGGCACCGGTTCACTCACTGCTCCTTTCATGCTGATACGACAGCGCAGGCACCAGCCAATCAGATCGCCTTTATGCTCACGTCTAAAGAGCGTGAAGCTCGAAAATAAAAGATGGCGGACCAAACTCCGTAGAATAGGGGGTCCCTGCTCCACCTCGCCATCAGTTTGGAGGACCTTGGCTTGACCTAGTCCCTAGGTCCCTAGTCCCTAGGTCAAGACCTCTGACCTAGAACTTATCCAGACTGGATCAAGAATCAGAAAAGGAGAAGGAAACTGCCCCAAGCTCTCAGAAGCCCCCTGAAAGCTCCAGTTGTGTTTCAGGACAACGGCGTTGAAGAGTATGCAGCACTGAACAGAAGGGGTGAGTACTACTGTAAGTACCCAAGACCGTCCTAAATGATTCACAAACATCAACAACCGTGGGCGCTGCACGGTGGCAAGCACTGTACCCGCTCAGGGGCCCCGGTTCGGCCCCTCTGTGTGCAGCTCACATGGTCAGAGTGGGTTCCATCAGGGTTCCTCCCACAGCGCCAAAACATGCAGCTTATCAATACAGGACCCGAACTGGGCCTCGTGTGTGAATGTGAGTGAGTCAGTCTCTTTTCCTCAGCCTATCCATGGATCAACAGCTATCCATCTCTATCTATTCATATGTAGATCAAATAATGGTGGGAACAAAGGGATTCTGCATTTGCTACACTTGCCCGTTTCAGGCTTTATGAGCAATTACAGCATTCCGTTGTGTTTCTAAAGCCTCGCATTAAGACACACATCACTTTATTTAAGACGCTGCGCTACTTGAAAGTCGCTGTGTTGTGCTAGATTCTCAATAAAGTTATTAAATCGGCTTGTGCCGTTCTGGAAAAGGATCCTTCCACTGACCACTTTGCCACCCATGATAACAGCCATTGAAAAGCGACCTTTTGGTGTCCCCTTTAAGAGTGGAGATTTTGGTTTTGTGTTTATTGTGCCACTTGAGGGCAGTCACTCCCCACACCACACTCCCACTACCACGCTGAAAGGTTACAGCAATATTTATGATGAGCTTTAAACCCGGCCGTACGAGTATTTCAATAACCTTTATTGTTTCTCAATTTCACCATTTATGAATTGGTGGAGGAAGTAATATTCTGAAAAATACAACTTTCATATGGAGCTTGTGTGTCTGAAAGTATATATCAAGTGTTGTGTGTGATTTCAACAACAATGAGGATAGAAATCAGATATATTTAAACATGCAACATATTACTATTATTATTAGAGCCTTACTTGAGGTCTGTATATCTTTTTTTGTCATTTATAAATGTAACTACTGTAAAAAAAAGATATATCCAAAAATGTGCAATGGAAGTCCCCCATTGTCTGTAAGGTAATGACCATTGCCATGAAGTAAAAAGTTGGAGATGAGGATGACTGATGTTTCCACGCCAGCACTGCTTGATTAAACCTGAAAGATGATTCATTAATAAATAAAGCGGTATTTGCTTTCTTCATTCTTTCTTTGACATTACTTTGTAAACCAATACAGTTTGTTCATGCTCAAACGTAAGTTTCTTGCTTAAATATGATAAGATATTTGTCTTTAGTTTTAACTCTTTATCAAAAATGTTGTGGAGCATTTAGCACGTGACCCTGTTTTTAACTGGTTTAACTATTGAAGGCTTGCATCACCTCATCAACTTGTTCTCTTTCTGGCTCGTCTCATACAGGGTTCATGGCTTTGCCTTTGGGAAATGAATGCACTGTAATTCTTGATATCCAAAGAGAGCAAATCACATGAAAACCCTGTGATTGTTAACCAGGCAGTGAAAAGCCTGCAAAGCGTTTGTGCCCTGAGCCGAAAGAAAAATCACATGACTTATTCCTCCCATAACTTCTGTACAAACCCGGACCACAATTCATTCCTAAACCTAACCAGCATTTCAGATATTTTCGCAGGCCGGCCGGCTTTGTTGCCTAAACAAAGCCGTTTCCTGTGAAGACAGAAAGGCAGCATTTCTGTCTTCACAGGAAACGACTCACCACGCAAAACACACCAAGACAGAGGAGTGACTTTTTGTATGAGGACGCTTGGTCAATGAGAGGCGTCGTGTAGCCGAGGTCCAGGCTTCAAAACGCAACTCCACCGACCATCACGATGACCA